GTCGTCTCCGTCGCCAGCAAAGGCTTCAACGAAGCCAGCGACGAGGTCCTCCGGGCATTAGGCCGACTCACCTGGGCGACCCAGCAAGCGGTCACCAGCGCGGGAGACGCATTCCTGCGGCCCAACGAGCTCCTCCTGCTGGGATACATGGAGGATATGAAGATCGGAGTAAGCCGAATCCCTGACCCCATACCTAACCCCAACCCCCAACCCCCTTCTCCGCTCCCCCACCCCACTTCTCGAGAACCCTAACGGAGTCAAACCCCCCTAACACAACCCAGTACCACGACGACGGCGAATCCTCCCTCGGCCCCACCATCGCGACCCTCTCCCTCGGCGCCCGCGCCACCATGCTCCTGCGCATGAAGTACAAATACTACCACGGGTACACCAAAGCCAAGCGGCTGGTAGACGAAGACCCCGCCCTGGACGGATGCGCCCACTGCCCCGAGCGGCAGGCGCTGAAGCAGACTCTCGACGCGGGCGCGATCACGCGGGAGGAATACGAGGCGCAGCGCCGGAGACTGCCCGCCCGAAATCGGAGGGGGGAGGCGCCGCCGTGCCTGAGGATGGAGCTCAACCATGGGGATCTGGTGGTGATGCATGGGGAGGGGTTGCAGCGGTTTTATGAGGTATGCTTTTTTTTCCCCGGAGGACACAGAGGGAAGGGCTCATGCCGATGTTTGACGATTACTACTGTAGCATTCGGTGGTCCCCGAGAAGAACCTGCGGTTCGCGCTGACGGCGCGGTATATCAAGCCCGAGTTCGTGGAGGAGGCGGACAGGCAGAAGGGGGTGTTTGCGCTTACGGAGGAGCAGGTTTATGATGGGAAGTGAGATCCCAGAGGAAGAGGAGTGTGCAGTGGAGTGGAGTGGAGTGGAGTGCAGTGCAGTGCAGTGCAACGATGGGCTTGCTGGATAGTCTACCACCCTCTATATAGCTTTGCTGGTTGCTACAATATATCCAATCACTGATCCCGCCAATTCTCCACCCCATAGTCCACTGGGACCGGATGGTAGAAACTGAACCGCTCGAACGGATCCCACTTCCGCTTCAACGCCGCCAACCTGACCAAACTCCTCTTCCCATACCACACCTCGGGCCCCTCGTCCCCATGCGCATAGTTATTGTAGAGCACCAGCTGCCCCCGCCCCTCCGGGTCAACAAACCCACTCGTCCGCGCAAACCACTCCCGGCTCTCCACGACCCACGCATTGACCCGCTCCTCCGCCTGGTCATCGTCATCCACAAACGTCGCCTTGAAGAGCACATGCGTCTCGATGTCCCGAAACGCATACGCCATGTCCTCTCCCCGCCTGTCCCCCAGCTTCACCGCCTGCGTCGGAAACCGCGAAAACACCACCGACGCCGCGATCCGACCATGATACTCCCTCGCAAAGCCGGCAAAGGCATCCGTGTACTCCACAAAAGTAGCGACATCGGTGCGCCTGAGCCCGGCACCGCCGTAGATGAGCCGGAGGTCGTGCTCGCAGGGGGAGGGATCCTCGCTGAAGAACAGCTTGGAGTAGAGTTTGTTCCAGGGCAGGACCGGGGCGAAGCGGGCGCGGAGCGGGCCCAGCGCGCGGAAGCGCTGGAGGTAGGGCTCGGCGGCCTCGGGCGGGCCGTAGTAGATGAAGTTGACGAGGATGGTCGCCTATCCTTGTTTCAGCATGCACGCCCTTTCCCATCCTATACTAGCAGGCGGGTACGAGGTGAAAACATACCATATCCAACCCCGGATTCCACCCCAAAACCACCGTCAACGCCAACACATCCGGCAGATTGTCGTCCCCGTCAAACTCCCGCAACGTCTCCCACACACTCGCGTTCGCGCTCGCCGCAAACAACATATCGCCCTCCAGCACCTGGCCCGCGTTCGTGGCCTCGTACACCTGGTAGGTGGCCTCGACCACGACCCCGAAGTTCCAGCCGGCGCCGCGCACGCCCCAGAAGAGGTCGGCGTTCTCGGTCGCCGACGCCGTCACCACTTCCCCCGCCGCCGTGACGAGCGTCGCCGAGGTCAGCGCGTCGATCATCAGGCCCCGCCGGCCTTGGAGGGGGCCTATCCCCGCCCCCAGCGTGGCGCCGATCGTGCCCACGCATTGGGCGGCGCCGGTTTCTGGTTCCCCTCCCGCCGCCGCATCGCGGTATTAGCTTGGCAATTGGGAAGGGATGGAGGTGGATGGAAGGGGAAACAAGAAAATAACGTACGGATCTCCTTCCCAGCAGCATACAGCACATCCCACATCTCCTGGAACTTGGTGCCCCCGCCGACGGTGAGGCGGTCGCCGGCGGGATGGAGGTGTGCGTACCGGAACCCGCTGAGGTCGATGTTGATGCCCGCCTGCATGTGGGCCAAGGTGGCGGAGACGCCGTGGCCGGCGCCGGTGGCCAGGAAGGGGATGTCGTGGGCGTTGGCGGTTTTGATCTTGGCTTGGGATTAGCTCTGCTCGTGGAAATACTTGGAAAGATCCACTGGGGTACGGGGGGAAGAAGAGTACAATGTTCTGCACATCCGACACAGTCGCTGCCCGGATGGCTGCCCTATACGACGGGGCCTGGTACGCGGACCAGCGCTGCTGGATCCGGTCCGTCCAGTTCGGCCACGTCGGGTAGATGATCTGCGCGTCGGGCGAGAGGACGGGGCGGAAGAGGGATTCGAGGTCGGGGGTGTTGTGGGGTGCGCTGTCAGTAAAATTCTGGGCGTGGGCCGCGAGGGCCAGCGCCAGCAATAGTATGAGGGCAGAAAGGCACGGCATATCGGTTTCGCATGCTTGAACGGTCAGATATGTCAGATTGGCGGGACAAAGTCGGAAATATAGCCTCGTGGGAGGGCATCTGTTGGGCCCAGCTAGTCTCTGCCGCTAATCGATGCTAAATATCTTGGCTGCATTAACTGTTCACGTAGCAAGCCCTAGCCCCGGGTCGGAGATGCTCGTGTCCGAACATGGTGAGATTGCATGTCTGTTCTGTGTTGCTGATAACACATCTTATACTTGCGTAACCTAGGCGAGGAGACTTGCTGCTGTGGCGCAGAAATACTTATAAATAGTTAGTATCAACGGTGCTGTCGATCAACCTTAAAGGTAGAACGGCGGCCGTGCGTAAGGCTTCCCGGGGCTATTCAGCCCCCCTTGAGGCGTCTACACCACCCTCAGTAAAGATCGTATCTCATCAATTAAATCTACCACTACCATGTATCAATACCGATGTGCATACATCCCACTCCCCTCAAAACTCCAACTCCTCCACCTCCATTCCACAATCCACACACGTCTTGACCCCGATCCCCGTCTCGGGATTCTCCACCGACCGACCCCATTGATGCACATGCCGCCCGCCATTCCCCAGATCGTCGCCGAACGCCCCGCCGGCCGCGCCCATCCGATTCCGCCGGTACGCATCCACGCGCGTCCGCTTCTTGAGGTCCTGCAGCTTCGTCTTGAACTTGGCCTCGCGGCGCCGCTTCTTCTCGCCCTCGCGCCGCTCGAACTCCGCATCCAGCGCCTCGGGCGACCCCCACTTCTTGTCGGAGAAGGCATACTCCTCGACCTGATACCGCAGGTAGAGCATCATGTTGTTCCACGTGGACTTGTGGGGGTTCGGCCGCTCCAGATGCGGCAGCAACTCTTCGTCGCGGAGCTCAGCTACCCACAAGAAGTCAGCATAACCCATCCCTAACCCCCGCCGATATATCCCGTACCCTCGAGAACCGGGGAAAGGGAAAGGAAACACTCACGATCCGTCAAAAGATAATCCTCCTTCGCCTCCGTCTTGGTCAACAGACTGTACCGCTCCGGAAACCGCTCCTTACAGGCATGACAGATTCGACACCGCAACTCCTCCTCCCACTTCCAATCGATCTCCAAGCTCCCGCACTCGCGACACGCCTTCTGCTTCTCCTTCTCCTCCAGCACACTCAACCCGGGCTCGAAGGGCCCCGCGCGCTCCCGCCGCAGCGCCTTCACCAGCAACTGCCGCTCCCACTCCTTCTGCGTCATGCCGGCGGGCTTCTGCTCGGCTTTGGGGTCCTGCACGTTCAGCGCCTTGTTGTGGGGGTCGTCGTCCACCGATAGAAACCCGCCTTTCGTGTCCGTCATCTTGCTGAAGTCGTAGTCGACGAATTTCGTGAAGTTGCGCGCCGGGCGGATGGTATCGAGGGGTCGGGTTGTAGAAGTGGTGGCATCGCGGACGGTGGAGGGGGTGGGTTGCGCGGTCATGGTGGTGTAGGTTCTTTTGACGCCTTTCGTTGCGGCGGCTGCTGCTTCGGCATCACGCTGTTCGCGGATGGCTTTGGCTTTCATGCGGTTGATTTCCTACCAGATTCCACAAATTGTCAGGAAGGCTGGATTAAGAAAAAGCGAGGGAAGGACGTACGATCCGTCGCAGCTGCTCCGGAGTGAGCGGGCCCCGGGGGAGCTCACCGGGCTTGGTGGTGCCCGTCTGAGGCGGAGGGGTCGAGGGTCGGTCGGTTGCCATTTTTTTCTGTCCCTCTTCGACTTGTTCGGATCGTAGGCTTTGGAGTGAGGAGGTGTAGATGTAGATGTAGAAAGAGTAGGAGGCGTCGCGGTCGCGGTCGAGGCCGTCGCCACATCACGTGCCGATAAGCATTTTAATTGACGTGCGATAAGAATTCCCCCCTCTACAGACTCGCCGCTGCCCATGTGAAGTCAACCCTAACTTCGATTTTCTGGAGTCGGGGTGAAACTCTATCGCCAGTCCATGGTTAGGAGAATCAGCGGGGAGAACGGTAGAAAGCTTGTTCTCAGCAGTCTAGATGTTATGGACTATGCTCATTCATGCAAGCTGGGTGTCTCAGCTGATGATGAATCATGATACCCGATTCTCATGTCAACGACTGCGAACTCATACCTTGCATCAAGGAAATGGAAGAGATGAGCATCGACCCAGAAACATCTATTATACTCAAATCAGGCATATCACCTCAAGAACAGGTTTAATGCCTAGCGACTCCAGATCAACCACCACAGACAGCCGATCAAGTAAACCCCTCCCTCTCAGCCCTGACCAGCAACTCCTCCAGCCGCACAAACTCCATCCCAGCAAAGAACTCCTCCTTCTGCCGTAACGTCTTCTCCCGGGGGCAGCAAATCGCCCCTTTAATCGTACACTCCTCCAGCTCCGCCAGCGCGATATTCGGATCATCCGGGGGTGTCGGATGGTGCTCGACATCGTACTCGATCTGCTCGACGGACCGATACTCCCTCTTAAAGGGACGGCCTTCCATCTCCCGGTGATCAGCACGCAGCCTCCAATCCCCTTAGACACAGAGTATGATACAAGGCAGACATACCGTAATACTTCTCCAACAACCCCACCGCCTGATTAAACGTGCTCCATTCCCCAGCCACATAAGTCACCGGTTCCTACCACCCCAACAATTAGCACCTTGCATACTAGGTACACCATCCCATCCCATCACCCCCTAACCCCACTCCCACAACCCTAGCCCTTCCCCGCTCCAAGCAAGGCAAGAAAAACATACCCACCGCTCCCGCCCCAGCAACCGCACCACCGCCCTGGCCAAATCCCTCGACCACGTCCACGACTGCGCCCCCTCCCCCGACCCCTTCACATGGTACGTCCACGTCTGCGGATCGACCGGAAACTCGCCGGGGATGTACGCCATGTACGACTTGTGTTCCGGTAAGAAATAGTCCATGAACCAGCCGTGGTGGACCAGCGTCCACTCGACGTGGTGACTGGCGGCCCGGGACCGCAGGATCTCGCGGAAGGGGGCGCGCGTGCCGCCGTAGGAGCGCGGCAGCAGCGGGAAGTCGTCGACGTTGCCGGCCCACTCGGACGGGATGAGGCGCTTGCAGGTCTGCGAGGCGATGCACGCGTCCAGGAGGTGGGTGTGCAGCGGAAGGTAGGCGTCGTTGGGGCAGCGGATGAGAGAGAGGAGGGTGGTGGCCTGCATGGTGTTGAGGATGGGGAGGAGGGAGGTCGGCGTGTAGTCGGTTTGGTGGGTGGTGATTTTGGGGTGGTCGGTCCAGGGTGGGGGGTTCTTGTTCTTGTTCTGGTTCTTGTATCAGATAGTGATTGTGGATTCTTGTGAGGGGTGTGGGAATGGGAGATGTGGGGGAGGAGACTTGGAAGAGATAGGGTCTGTACCGATCGAGTTAAGATGGCAACGGCGTAGTCTGGGCTGCTGGTGATGGCTTCGGCGAGATACCGGCCGAATCCGCCGGTTCCGCCGGCGAGGACGATGACTTGGGGAGCCATGATGCAACAGGAATTTCGGGCTTCGATTGTGATGGTGAACGGCGGGATAAGATGCGTGTGGGTGGGCTCAATGCTGCAGTGTGCATGTTGGTTGGGGCCGGTATTTATGTACTTTAATTTTCAAACACATGGGCGACAGTTGCTTTCGTCAGTGGATCGACCTCGGATCTAGCTGCGGTGTTACAGTCTCTGACTCAGAGATAATGCAGTCGACTTGACTTAGATGTCCTGTAGGTCGCGCTGTGTCAGAACTTTACTGTCGAGGATGTGAAGTCTCAGCAGTTGCTAGTGATACTCGTGTTCGGGGCACCCTGCGAGTGGGGTTGTCACTGATTTAGGGTAGACATCGAGTTGTCCAACTTGTTTAGCTCGCCGAGGAATTGGAATCCCGAGGCGATCAAGGTTGCATCGATGCGACATCAAGTCAGCCCAGAATGGATTGCGAATGCTGACACACGTTACATCTTCTCAAGATCATGGCTGGTGACACAAGCATGGTCAAGGAGGCGTGGAAGGGATATCCCAACTTACCAGTCTATGAGATCGTCCGGACTGCCGAGTATAGACCCTGAGAACTGCCATATAATAGCTCCATCCGCTCGTGCCCGCCTAAGTGTCTACCTTGGCAAGAACATGTCCCAGCTGTAGGATTCATCACTGCCTGCACAACAATGACAGAATCACCAACCATGGAACCACCAAGCAGCAAGGGCGTACAATGCGTCCCCAAAGACACGCCCCTCCTCGAGATCCTCGCCCACATGAAGCGCGACGGCGGGGTGATCATCAAGGACCTGATCGCCGAAGAAGACATCGACCGCACCTACGAGGAAGTCAAAGAACGGCTCGCCCAAGACCCGGAGTGGGATGGGGTGTTCTTCCCAAGTGCGCTCCCTAATCCAACCCGTCTCTCTGACAACCACTCACGCGCATCTAGAGGAAACGAAGCGCGCCAACTCCATGATCGCCATCAGCCCGACCTACACCAAGACCCAGCTCATGAACCCCATCTACCAAGCCATCTGCACCCACTTCCTGACGACCCGCCACTGGTTCTGGTGGGGCGAGCAGCGCAAGGAGTCCATCTCCAAGCCCTATGTCTCCACCTGCACGGCCATGGAGATCGGGCCCGGGGCCCAAGCCCAGCCGCTGCACCGGGACTCCTTCGTCAACCACACGTGGCTCCCCGAGATCGCGGAGTGGGACGACGAGCGCGACCGCCACCGCGAGACGGAGATCGGGATGATGGTGGCCGGGTGCAGGGTGACCAGGGAGAACGGCGGGACGGCGTTCATCCCGGGGAGTCATTTGTGGTGCGTACCTAGCCAGCTCCTTACCATACCATCCAACCCCATCTACAAACTAAATAAATCCCCCATCAGGGCCACCGACCGCCCAACCCCGCCGCTCGTCCGCGACACCGTCTCCGTCGAGATGGACAAGGGCGACGCCTTCGTCCAATTCGCCTCCACCTACCACGGTGGCGGCTGCAACACCACCGCCGACCAGAAACGCCTGTGCTATGCCACCTTCATGGTGCGCGGGTATCTGCGCCAGGAGGAGAACCAGTTCCTGGCCGTGCCGAGGGAAGTCGCCCGCCGGTACGACCGCCCCGTCCAGGAGATCATCGGGTACTCCCTGAGTGACCCGGCGTGTGGGCATGTGGAGCAGCTGGATCCGATCTATGTGCTGCGGCCGGAGTTGTTGGGGGAGGGGAGGCCGAGGGATTGGTGATTGCCCTGGTGTTTGGTGGGATTGGGGCTGTGGTTTGATTCGCAGGGGTAGGACTTGAGGTGTGTTGTAGTCTGTTGTGGTCTGTTGTTTGGGTATGCAAGAAAGTGATCAGGTTATCGGCTGAAGATTTGATTGCTGTGATGAGATAGTGGTTATGTCTGGTTGGCTGGGGAGTATACTACGCTTGTCATTGTGAAATTGACGCTTCTGAGGTCTGGTAGAAGCAGCGTCCTCTCAGCTTGTCTTAGCATTAGCCTGGTAGCCTTGCGCGGAGAGCGCGAATCAGACCTAGAGGTTGTAACAGTGGCTGTGGTGGTGACTGCTGGGTAACGCTTGATATCTGCGTCATCCCGGTTTATGGAGGCATCCATTACTGCGTGTGGAGTACGGTCAAAACAAGAGTGTTCTTTCGATGACTGCGCTCACTGAGCACCAATGACCGAGTCTACTACAACGAGAGGCATTTACCCCATCAGGAAACTAGCAGATGTTCTCAGATCTGGTACACTATACGCAGATAACTACGTAGTACATTTACCGAATACCACCCAACACATCCCACATAGAAACCTCTACAAGCAAGGAAAAGCAAAGAAACACAGCTATCCCTAAACTTCATTTTCAGACAGACAATCCTACAAAGCACCCACGTCACACAAGGGCTGACTATCTCCAAAAGCAAAAGGAGACCTGCTGATGCAGGTTCCAGCCACCCGGCTCTACCACGCAGCCGGCACGAACCTCACCCCCATCACCCTGTTTTCAGACCCATGCATCCGTATCCATCCGGCTGACCTGCAAAGCCACCCCAGATCTTGACTGCTCATCCGTGTTCCAACCAGCAGAGCAGCTACCGGTGTCGCCGGTGCCACCATCCCCAAACCCAGCCCGCAGGGCGCTTCTCCATCCCAGCCCGAAGGCTCCAACACCCCTAGTCAAGTCCAGGAAAACTAATCCTAGACCCCGCGACCCCGCATCCAGCTCCTGCAAATCGACCCCTAGAACCACTCACTCAATGATCCCCAAGTACAACAAAGGTCCCGATCCCCATCAGCAGACAGAAGATAGCTATCCCAAGGCAAAAAAAGCAATCAGCGCATCCGGCCCAATTGAAACCGACCACAACCCAAGAGTAGACAAAACGTACCCAGAACCAAATTCATGTAGAAATACCCCACCGCCTCAGTCAACGCCCCGGAGACCAAGGGGCCGACGAACATGCCCCCCTTCCAGGTGACATTGGACAAGGAGAAGGTGCGCGAGTAGCCGCCGTTCGAGCCGAAGATGCCGGGTTTCTCGTCGGCGAGCTCGTTCGCGCCGTCTGCACTCATCAGCATCCTCCTCACTCGCCATAAAGCAATCCCTTGGGGACCGTCGGAAGGGTAAATGACAGTAGGAACCGCGAGAAGGACGGGATCAACTCACTCAGAACCTCCACCCCGCCATACCCCAGAATCAACGTCCTCCACACCCCAATCGCCACCAAGCTCACCAGATACACCACGGCCCCGCTCGTCCCCAGGAACCCCTGGTGGCCTGGGAGACCCAGCAGCACCAGCGACGGCGCCAGCAGCCCGAACCCCAGGGAGACGGGGTACCGCAGCCCGACCCGATCCTTGAGCCCGCCGACGGGCACCACCAGGAGCAGCGTCGGCGCCTGCAGCAGCAGGAACAGGAGTCCGGCGTGGAAGCTGTCCCAGCGGAAGACCTCGCGGATGTGCAGCGGGATCGTGGCCTCGAAGCTCGCGATGACGACGGCCAGCAGCGTGTCGCCGAGCAGGCCGGCGGCCACGCGCTTCTTGCGCAGGATGAGCCAGTAGATGTTCGCCTTTTCGGGGGTGCTGCTTCCCGCCGGACTTGGGGGGTCGGTGTCGGCGGCGGTGGTGGTGGTGGGGTTGGTGGTTGTGTGGTATGTGTAGGAGCGGGCTTCTGCGGCCGGGCTGGACGGGAGGAGCGGAGCGGTGGTGGCGTCGAGGGTCTGGGCCTCGCTGTCTTGCTCCTCGTCTCGCGTGCCCCTGTCGTTGGGAGCGGTGATGGAACTGGCGCGCGCTCCATCCCCGCGCGGTTCGAGGACGAGCAGTTGCAGGACCAGCCCGGTCAGCAGGACGAGGAACGCGCTCGACCACATGACACCGTAGGAGACGAACTTGTACAGGGCGGCCGACACGGCCGGACCGGTCAGCAAGCCCGCGGAGACCAGCAGGACCGCGACCCCGAACGCCTTGCTCAGGTGCCGCGCCCCGGCCGCGTTGGCGAGCATCGCCATGCCGACGATCCAGATCACCGAGCCCGCGACGGTCTGGATGAGGCGGCCGATGATGAGTCCGGTTACTGCGGGGGTCTTTGCATCAGCTCGGCTCTATGCCTTTGCGGTGAAAATGAAGGGAGCTACCTACGTGTCGTCGACCACGCCGTCACCGCCGTCCCGAACATATTCACCACCCACGCGGCGATCAGCAGCCAATTCCGCGAGGACAGTTTGTCCGCCACGTAGCCCGTCACGGGTGCGAGGATGATCGAGACCAGGGCGTTCATGGAGAGGATGATGGAGGTCAGCGCCTGGATGCGCGCGGCGGGCTGCTGGAGGCGGCTCTCCAGGATCTCCGGCAGGATCGGGATGATGAAGGTGAAGAGGAAGTTGTCTGTGGAATCCCCTGTTGTCAGTATTCCCTGGAAGAACCCGATTGTCCGCGAGGTTTCTGGAGAATTGGACCAACCTGAAAACAGAGCCACCGATACTATCACTATGATGTACAGTCTCGAGGATCGCCATCGATGGCCGAAAGGCTTGGACGGTCTCGCAGCGCCCCGTGCCATTGTGCGCAGTCGCCGACGATAGTGAGATAATTGCTCTCTCGACTCATCATTGGATGCTTTTCGGTATAAATGGAGGGTCAGATACAAAGAACGGCTGGAAGGTGCTTCCCATCCCAAATTCAGCAGGCAGATCCATGGTTACTCAATGGCCGTAACATTGCATATGCTGTTGCACCAATTCGCTCCGGTGTCTGCCGGGGAGCAGGAATCCGGGAGATACAGTCGAGTTGGGTATACGAGGCTCGCGCCACTCGCTCGGGTGTGCTGACTGGGCGGGATGCGAATGGGTTTAGTGATGAGTAGTGTTTTTTCTTTTTGCTCAGCTTGCGTGATGGGCTCTAGTTGGGTGGGACTGGCTGGTTGTTGCCTGGGAAAGTGAGGATAGTAGTCTACGACTGGCTCTCACTGGAGGACGGACTTTTCGGAGCATCGATGTAGGAGCCCGAGTCTGATATTCGGATGAATATGCTTGCTGCCTTGTGCTTAGGCACCTTAAGCACGTCCGAAGATGTCACTTCTCAAGCTTCATTGTCGTCACCAAGTACAATGTCGGATATGCATTCTATTAAACCCATGTCTATGCTATGAGCCGGAAAGGAAAACGGTGATGTAAATATATCCTCAGAACAAGATGCAGTGTTGCAAAGGCAGGTCAGACCCGCAGCGAGCGCTTAGTGTAGAATCCCGGGCCAGCAGTCTTTCTGTCACCTCTAACTTTTTTTCGACGATCATTAAGCATGTACTCCACATATCTAGGCAATCACAGCCTCCAAGGCCTGCTCGAAGATCTTCAGGCCCGTCTTGAGCTGCTCCTCGGTGATCGTCAACGAAGGCACGAACCGGATGCAGCCCTCACCGGCGGTGATGATCAGCATGCCACGCTCGCGAGCAGCCGCCACCAAGTCTCCAGCCTTGGCGCCGAACTCGGGGGTGAGTTGCACACCCAGGATCAGACCGCGACCGCGGACCTGTGAGATGACGTTCGGGTGCTTCTGCTTGAGGGCAGCAAAGCCGGCCTGCAGCACGGCCGACTTGTCCTCGACCTGCTTCTGCAGCTCGGGCGAAGCCAACCGCTTGACAATGTGGTGGGCGACGCGGCTGGCCAGGGGGTTACCACCGAAGGTGGTTCCGTGGTCGCCCGGCTTGATGTGCGACGCAACCGTCTTCTCGGCGATGATGGTGGCCCCGATGGGGAAGCCGTTGCCCAGCGCCTTCGCGGTGGTCAGGATGTCGGGGTGAGCGGCCTCGCCGGAGGCGGGCGCCAGCGAAGGGTGGCCGTGCGCCCAGAGGCTGCCCGTCCGGGACAGACCGCACTGGATCTCGTCGAAGATCAGGACGGCGCCCACCTCGTCGCAACGCTTGCGCAGAGCAACCAGGAACTCGGGGGTGGCAACGTTGACACCGCCCTCACCCTGGATGGGCTCGACGATCACACCGCAAGTCTTGTCGGTGATGAGAGTCTGGAGCTGCTCCACGTCGTTGTAGTTTCCGTACTTGAAGCCCGGCAGCATGGGCGAGAAGGGGGTCTGGTACTTGGGGTTGGGGGTCGCGGACAAGGCACCCATCGTGCGGCCGTGGAAGGAGTTGTGGAAGGAGACGAGCTCGTGCTTGGCGCCCGAGGGGTCGCGCGAGCGACCGACCTTGCGGGCGAACTTGATGGCAGCCTCGTTGGCCTCGGTACCGGAGTTGGCGATGAACACCTGGGAAGCGTCACGCATGGCACCGGACTCGCGGGTGACCTCAATCAAGAGTTTGCTCAGGGCTCCGGTCCAAGCATTGTAGTACAGGTTCGAGGCGTGGATGAGGATTTCAGACTAGAGGAGAGGCCCTCACCGTTAGTATTTCGGGAGCCAGCATATGTGGAGACTCTGGGTGCACACCTGTTCGGCGATGATCTTTGCGATCTCAGGGTCACAGTGACCAAGAGAGTTGACAGCAATACCAGACGTCATATCAAGGTACTTTCTGTTCTCCATATCCCAGAGATAGCTGCCCTGACCCTTGACCATCACCGGAGGTGGCCGGACGTAGGTGGGGACCATGAACGGGGTTTGAGCATTGATGAAGGAGGAGGAAGCGGAGTCGGCGGTGGGATCGGGGTTGGGCAAGGAGCTATCATCCTGGAGAATGACCACACGTCAGTATAGAGTACGATACTCAAGGAATTTCCAATCAGCACATCAGGAGATTCACCTTTGCTTGGGGAGCAGCTGTCGCGCTCAAGGATCGCACGGGCACTGCGGTGAACCGAGGCCGGAGCACGGAGTTGATTTCAGGAACCAGCTTCCTGGCAGCGGGCAGACGCCGCGAGGCAAGTTGTAGAAGAGCCATTGTATGAACAGACACTGGGGAATTGACAACGTGTCGACCTCTGGCAACCGGGGGAACTTTATACCTGGCGGAGGTGTTAGGTACTAGGTACTAGGTAGGTAGGGAAGCGCGATTTAATGACTCGACGGGCACGCTCGCAGAAGAAGAAACACCGCACCGCAGCCCGACAACCTATCGGAGCCGAGAATCGGAGCGGCAGGCCACGCCGTGAGTCACCTGAGTTTGCCATGTTTGCACTTGCCAAGAGCCGCCCATTCAATGTTAAAGCTAATCCGACAGGGTAAGAACGCGGTGCGGGTCCTCGGACTGCAGCACAATCAATCTTTCAAGCCTGGCCCCGATGTCCGTGTTATTTTCCCACTTGCATGTAACATGATTGAACAGTCACCCCCCCCCAGTACGAAAGAGAAATCTGAGGCTATGGAAATGGATCTGGACATCCCTTAAGCAGTGGATTTCAAGTTGCTTGAGGTCTTCAGGCACTTCCTGTATGATTGAGTCACAGAATAGTATCACACGAAGTTGCTACAATACAGCCAAAATTTCACTTAGTACTGAGTATTTTGCATAACAGGCTACTCCACAATCGTGTCCACTCCGATTAAGCGATTGTACCACGTACCCACCTGCCTACCCATCAATCATGTCCTTGGCTCTCTGTGGAGGATGCACTGCAGCCGGGTCGTCCGACGAGCACCGCGACAGGTTCCCTGACTCTGTCGCATATTCCATATGACGGTGAGCCACATCCGAAACACTGTCCACTGCCGTCATACTTGTTGCTTCGCTGGCTTGACTGGCAGTTCGGGTGTTGATCTGAGTTTCTGGCTTGGGTTTGGTGAAGGGGTCTTCTCCCGGTTGCTGCTGCTGCTCCTCTGGATGGATGATTCCCATCTCAACATACCGGTCCATCTCGTCCGTGTCTTTCTGGGTTGACTGTCTCCTAATCTCCCGAACAAACGAACGGCCCTTTGTCCACCAACTGGGTTTCCTTTGGCCAACGCCCATGTCGTCTGCGATGGCACTATCGAGGTCACCGCGACGAGCGATTAGAGCCTGGTCGTCATTCAACTCACAGTGACCACAGATGTTGAACAGGATTATCAGGAGGAGCGGGGGTGTATAACCCAATCCGTAGATCCAACCGCCGCTAACACCATATCTCAACGGTGACACCGTCCAGTCATACGCAGATGCAATTGCATATCCGACTTTGAACCCGAGTAACACGAGGGCCACGAGGAATTGGGAGGGTGCGGCATTGAGGTAGAACATAAGCTGGCCCCAGGTACTCGTGGGGCGGATGCGGTAGCGGTACAAACTGTGCTCCAGGCTATAGCAGATAACGAGAACGCCACCCATGGCTAGGAAGCTGGCGATGCGCCATCGGATGTCCGTCGCGGCAGGTTTCGCATCCGCCATCTGTTGCTCCAAGCTTCGTTGCCTTTCGATCGGCCCCCAGGAGCGCGGAACGGTCAGGAAGAAGTTCGCGAGGGCTAAACCGTAGAATATCATCGGCAGCACGAATTCTTGGCCTCGGCGGGTACTGGACTTGCTGAATGCGTAAGGGTCTCGATCGATGATCTGTCGCTCCTGCCAAGAGCCCCTGGGGGTTGTCGCGGGTCAGAAAAGGTCCGGGAGAGATGGATTCATAGACGAAGATCCTGCTTACCAGTGCCGAACAGCTTCCCACACGACTGCCATCATCACGGGGGTGAGAATGGTATAGAAGACACTCTGCAGAATCAAGGGACTGTTCACCACATAGTCCCGATCCACATCGATGCTCATGAAACAACTAATCGCTCCGCAGCCGGCAAGCACGAGCATCCAGATCCATTTGGCTCGGCGACCCAAAAGTCTCCACCGTCGATCATGCGGTAAGTATCGTCGCCCGTGTTTGCGTAAATTGATCAATGTGAAGAAAATGGAGATGGAGAACATCAGGGCGAAGGCCAGGCCTGCTGCTGCATGGGAACCCATATCCCGGACGGGCGCATAGCACGAGACTCCCTTGATGACCGTCCCGTTCTCCGTCTGCATATGGGGCTTGAACTGGTTGAATGCAAGATAGCAATCCGTGCCATTGGAGAGCGTCCCGTTGCTGTAGAGCTTGTAGTGGTAAAGATCGAGGGCGGTGCGATTGAAATGAACCTCGTTGATGAGTACATCGGTGGAGTTGGCGCCGGCCTCGAAAGGCACGACAGCGCGAACGTACAGTAGCGTCATGGCGTGGTCGGTTCAAGATAGGATGGCCCCCAGGCGAGAAGGCGATCGGCTTGGAGACTTGCAAGTTCCCGAGCAGGGAGTGAGGCCGATGATCACCATCAGGATAATCCAACAATCGGATGGAACTGATGAGACCAGATGGAAGAGCGAGCTACAGCTGTTCGGGACGCGACGGAGCCATGACGGCGGAACATCAACGACAAGGTCGCATCCAGGGACGAGTCGATGATGCGCCGAGGACCCAAGCAACCCAATCAGAGTCTGGACCCTGGCTTTTGGGTTCGGGTCATGATCCGTCGAGCGAGGATATGTAGTGCATCCATGGCCGGATTGGAGGGGTGATGAAGATTGCAAACTCAGTATACTTGAAGGAGGGAGAATCAATACTTGATGAAGGACAACGGGGTGGAGGCGAAGGCACTGGCCGCGACTGGAGGAAATGCGACCGGTCACCGGGTCTCCACTGCGGGTGCACTGGGCATCAACCACTGCATACCCCATTCGGGTCTACATGGGGAATCAAAGAGGCCCACCATGAATACTCACATCTGCACCTCGAGATATCACACTCATATATAGCATATCCAAGAATCAAGAATCAAAGGCGAAGGAACGGAAGGCAAGCTAAGTAAGCCTCAGGATAACCAGAAGGGCTACTACTAACGACAACCACCATAAGAACCACAAAAAGCTCACAACTGTCAGGAAGCAGCCCGCTACGCATCGATTCTACTTTTTAAGGCATACTCCCCAACAGTGCTCACGAAAACCCCTCAGTCTAACTAAACAGTCCCCGGGATTTTCATACCAGTTCTTCATCCCGATGGGTGGAGGGCTACTCTGCCTTTTATCTGCTTGCGTCAAGCTAAGGTTCGCCCTCTCCACGGTTCGAACGCAGGCCGGCGGCACCACAACACGTCACCACCCCCGTTGCACCACCCGGCCTGCTGGTTACCGTGCCAAGACCGCTCCGGGGTCATAGCCCAACAACGACTAGCCGTTTTGACTAGAATATTCACGAGATATCGCCGAACCCCAGACTCGGGAGGCTTGGCATGGTTTGCCAAGAACTTGCCCATTTATCGGCGTCTTTCGCTTGTTGTATGCGTAACTATACCGAGTAGTCGTCTATTGGGCATAGTTCTCATCTTTGCTATCACCAAGTCGGTTCTATTCTATTCAGAGCGGGCGAAATGATCCAGTAGTCTATTGTATGGGAAGTAGCATGCTCGTGCCCAGTCAGTGTCTTCCATATTTACCCTCTAGCAAGTTCAGAATGGTACGCTACGGACATATCTTGTACTACTTGTACTACTCCGGACGGAGGTAAGGTTTCAAAAAGATTCCTTAGCAATTGCCTGATGTTTTGAAAAAGTGACTATAGAAGAGAATCGCTTAGAGTTACGGTCGCTGTGGTGGCAGAGCAGACCGATTTCTCACACACCCCGCCCGGTCGGAATATTGCGCAGTTGAGAGGTCTTCCTGTTGCCTTGCCTTGCAGGCATCATAACCAACCAATCTTAAAAAAGATGTGACGGAAGAAGTTTGTCCGGCTGTGTTGAGTTAATTATACTAAAGATGTACTAAAGATTGAAGAAGCACTGTCGGGTTGGAACCATATTACCCCCAAGCCAGCCAGCAAGCTACATTGCATGCACGGTTGTTGGCATTGCGTTCCAGGCTGATTGCAAGCCCCACTCAAGCGGGCTGTCAGACTGCTAGCCAAACCTGGGGATTGATTGCTTATGCAGTGCTGCAGGAATGCCTCCGCATGACGAAGCTTGTTGCTCACGTGGTGTCCGTGCGCCATGCTTTGCTGCAGACTTGGTCCAGGAAAAGGGGCCCTCATGGAAGGGAGTGCTTTGCTTTCATTCTCTCTCAAGCTCTTCTGCCGCTCGCATTGCATGGCATGATAGTTTCTCACAAGGGTTCGGCTGGACGGAGACGGTACAGAGTAAGTGACAGGGACCAATGGGCAAGGACAAGATCGAGACGAGTTCATTCCACCAATTGGTAACTACATTGCATGAACGACCATTATGCCGTGACGAATACATCCAAGCGAGCTGCAAGCTGCCCTGCAAACCTCCTCATCTTGCACCGGATCACTCTAGCTGCAGACCTGCCGAACGGCGGATCAAGCCACCAGCCCCTCAATCTTGTTACTTTGGGTGGTGGAATCGTCATCAGTCCGAGCCGTCTCCGACCTCCTCGTACTGCTAGAGCCAATCGCCAGCAATGCGCGTGCCGCAGGGGTATCTTCATCGCCATCCCAATCCTCCTCGAGACGAGCCCTGACCGCAACCCCGACGGCCAGCCATGATTTTCCACCATTTGGCATGTATATCGTCAAATCACAGAGGCACAGACGCATCTCCTAGCCTGGTAGGGATCCTGTCCTCGCGCCGGCAAATCATGCTGAAACTGCCGGTTCATGGGGTTTAATCTAAACAATAATCCCACCACGGAAATTCACGCCGCGAGTTTAGGAACTACATCCGTCGCTCCCCAGCAGTATTTAAGGCCAACACCCAAGCCTTTTGTCCAAGAAAAGCCAAGTCGACTAAGGACGGGCAATCGAAAGCTTGGTTTTTCTTGTTGTCACTCACGTTGTCTCTTGCGACCATGCTCGTCAACTCAGCCGTTCTCCTTTCGCTGGCCCTCGGGGCCATCACCGTCAACGCCAACCCGGCCCCTGAGCCCCCTGCGATCACCGCAGCGCCCAAGGTGGGCGATTTGGAGAAACGGGCGACCACCTGCACGTTCTCGGGCTCCAACGGCGCTTCCTCGGCGAGCAAGTCGAAGACCTCCTGCTCGACCATCATCCTCTCCAGCGTGGCCGTCCCATCCGGCACGACCCTGGACCTGACTGACCTGAACGAGGGAACCCACGTACGTATTCCGCTCCCTTTCCACCCTTCCTCCGTACCCTAAATGAATGTCACGCCAGGTCATCTTCGAAGGCGAAACCACCTTCGGCTACGAAGAATGGGCCGGCCCGCTGGTCTCCGTCTCCGGCACGGACATCACCGTGACCGGGGCCAGCGGGGCGTACCTCAACGGCGACGGCAGCCGCTGGTGGGACGACGAGGGCTCGAACGGGGGCAAGACCAAGCCCAAGTTCTTCTATGCGCACGATCTGACCGACTCGGTCATCAGCGGCATCTACATCCAGAACTCCCCGGTGCAGGTGTTCAGCGTCGACAACTCCAACTACCTGACCCTGGAGGACATCACCATCGACAACACGGACGGTGACGATGACGGCGCCGCGAACACGGACGGGTTCGATATCGGCGACAGCACCTACATCACCATCACCGGCGCGAACGTGTACAACCAGGATGACTGCGTCGCGATCAACTCGGGCGAGGTACGTCCCGAATGGCCCCCAACCTCCCCCTTCTTTTCCAAGACAGGATCGAACAACAACTGACCCAAACTGTACAGAACATCTATTTCTCCGGCGGCGTCTGCTCCGGCGGCCACGGCTTGTCCATCGGCTCCGTCGGCGGCCGCAGCGACAACACCGTCAAGAACGTGACCTTCTACAACTCGGAGATCAAGAACTCGCAGAACGGTAGGCCTCTCCTTGCCCAAAAGAACAAGTCAAGTTCCGCATAAGCTAACAACCCCAGGCGTCCGCATCAAAACCATCTACGGCGACACCGGCTCCGTCTCCGAGGTGACCTACCAGGAGATCACGCTCTCCGAGATCACCGAGTACGGGATCATCGTGGAGCAGAACTACGACGACACCTCGGAGGCGGCCACCACCGGCGTTCCGATCACGGATTTCGTCCTCGATGGCGTGCAGGGCACCGTCGAGAGCACGGGCACTGATATTTATATTGTGTGCGGCTCGGGCAGTTGCTCCGACTGGACGTGGACGGATGTGAGTGTCTCCGGTGGGAAGACGAGTTCGTCGTGCACGAATGTGCCGAGTGGGATAAGTTGTTAGGTTTTGAGGGGGTGGAGAGGGTTGGAGGGTGTGGTGGTTGGGGTGGATGGGATGGTGTATGTACTGTAGCAGAGTGGCATTTTTCGAGGGGGTGTTGAATTTAGGTCGTGCGTTGAGGATTCTGCCTTCGGTGCGTATTGGAGAGTCTTCGTGGGAGAATATTGATGGGTGGCCATTGACTCACTAGTAGATGATGAGGAGACAGCATTGATAGGTGCGTAGAAGACTTTGGTCCGGAAGGGAAGGTGGTTTGCGAATCCACAATTTGACAACGACCCTTTGTCTGGTGAGCTGCGAGGGAGGATTTAGTCATGGGACATCCGTCGCTTTACGCATATTCTGCGAACCGCTAGGGCCGGGGTCTCGGCCAAAACCATTCCAACCCATCTACGCACATTGCGCTTACTCTTCAAGCCCAGACGGCGCTACTCTTTCAGCCGAGCATACATCATCATCATCATCATCATCATCATCATATTTCACGGTCCTGTCAAACTTTTATCTAAGCCCAACCCCCAACCCCAACCCCAATCTACTGCAACCGCTGAATGACCTTGATCAGATCAGCCGACACGCCCATGGCAGTGACATCGCCACCGGCACCAGCACCCTGCACGATCAAGGGGTTAGCGCCGTACCGCTTGGTGTAGAAGCTGATGATGTTGTCGCTGCCCTTGAGGCCGGCGATGGCGCTGTCCTTGTCGAACTTCTCCAGGCCGACGCGGACCTTCTTGGCGCCGACATCGACACTGCCGACGAAGCGCACGACCTTGCCCTCCTTCTCGGCCCCCTCCTTGATGGCGGTCATCTGGCCATCGAACTCGGGCAACCGCCTCATGAACTCGGCAATGCCCTCCGCCGTCGACGGCACATCGGCCAGCTCCTTGGGGATGAGCGACTCGATAGGGAAGGAGTCGGGGCTCTGGACCTCCAGGCCGGCAATGCGGGCGAGGATGGTCAGCTTGCGCGCGACGTCCATTCCATTCAGATCATCGCGGGGATCGGGCTCGGTGTAGCCGAGCTCCTTGGCCTGCGCAACGACCTCGCTCCACTTGGCGGAGCTGGCCGCCCCGACGGGCGCGAACGTGTTGAAGAGGAAGGACAGCGTGCCGGAGAAGACGCCCTCGATGCGGGTGACCTCGTCGCCGGTGGCGACCAGGTCGCGCAGCGTCGAGATCACGGGCAGGCCCGCGCCCACGGTGCTCTCGTGGTAGACGAGGGCGTTGCCCTCGGCCGCGGCGGCGAAGATCTCCTTCCACAGGCTCAGGTCCGACGAGAAGCCCTTCTTGTTCGGGGTCACGATCGAGATCCCCCGGCGCAGGAAGGTCGGGTACGACGACGCCAGCGCCGGGTCGCTCGTGTTGTCGACAAGAATCGACCGGCCCGGCGCCGAGGAAAGGTACGCCGCGATCTCATCGGGAGTCAGCGCCCCGGACTTGGTCAGCTGCGCCTCCGCCGAGGCGGTCTTCCAGTCCGCCGCGGGGATGGCCGGCGTATAGGAGGGCGTCGGCGAAAGGAGCGTCTGCGTCGACCGCGCGAGGAGGATCAGTTGCGGGGCGTTGGGTAGGCGCGCCAGCTGGCTGAGGAAGGAGTTTCCCACGCCTCCGACGCCTGGTGGGAGATGGGCTGGTCAGTATGGGTGGGCACTTTGCTTGTGAGGGGTGGCCGTGTTGGTGGGGGACAGGGAACACCAAGCGCAGTTGTCGTTATGAAGCACATGTGCTTTGCTGTCTGGAACTACTCACCAATAACACCGAGATAGATAGGAGCGGGCATGATGAGATGGTCAATTGGTCTGTTTCTGGTTGATACCTTGTCCTGACGCAGCAGGAAGAGGGGAAGAGGACAAGACCGAAGCAGCTCAGCTTCAAAAGCCGCTGCGGGGCAGCGCTGACTCATCGTCCTATATCGGCGCACGCCATGTGGCTTGGCAATTTCAGTGGCGCAGCTGCATGTAGCAGGAACAGTACGTGATGTCTTCATTAATGAGAAATCCTGTATAGCAATACTATGCGGGACCTTCACTCTTGAAATCACTTTCTATACTTTCATTCTGGATTTAGAACATCGAAGTATGGTGCAGACTTGTACCGTCGGAGTCATTATCCTCATCAGAACAATATATTTCGAGCGCTCTTGGCAGGGCGGATGGACTCAGCACCTCATCTGCACAAGATGACAAAGCCCTTGAGACTTGGAGCAAGAAGCCCCAGCGCATCCTGTTCCTTAGGGTCTCTTTGTGATCGATACTATTCTGGGCGTATCTTGTTCGACCGCTTGGGGTGCCATTGTCATGACACAAACAACAAAGACAAACATGATATACCATCGAACGAACGAGCAGGTTTATCTTTGATCCTATAACACCTGGAAAACGCATTCTGTATATACAATTCTTAAGTATTGCATTGTATTGTTCTACTCTCCAATGTATACAGCCACAAAGCAATGTGTCAAGCTGGCGTTAAAGGACTCGAGCCGTACTTATCCTTCATAGTTGCCCGCAGTGACTACTAATACCTCTCGCAAAGCATTCACTGTGAACACCACTATCTGCATCTTTTACTTCCTATAGAGAAATTATACTTCGTGCAGAGATCCTATACTAAAGATATTATACTCAAGCATGACCCAGGCAACCTGCAAGACGAAGCAAAGTGCAGAAACCCCGCCCACGAAGGTAAGCCCACGCCGCGCACTGCTCTACGCACAGAAACTCAACGATCCCTCGATAACTCCCTACCATCATTCCTAATCATCACCCAGAAACGACGAGCCTCTCCACGGCAAGAATACACAATCCCCCCACTGGAAGTACCCCCGCGAGCATCCCCTTCGTGACCCGCCCCTGGTGCGCCATCAACGGCGGCAAAGGCACCCCCCTCCCTCGACAACCCCGAAAAGAAAACCAGAGTCTGCTGTGGACCGTTCCATTCGGCTACCGCCCCGAGGATGGGGCCTTTACCGTGACCGATGAGCTGCTCCAGACGCATCTGACAAGACTGTACGCCCAGATCCAGCGGTTCCGGGAACGGTACTCGTGCAGCCCGGCGGAGATCACGCAGTTAGCGCCCATGAAGAAGAAAGCGATTCTCCAGCATCTGGGATCCTTCTGTCGGTGTAGGGACTGGCCCTCCATCAACAAGATGCTCAGCGCTAGGTCATAAGAGCGGTTTCTGCACAACTTGCTGGAGACAGTGCTAGTGAAGCAGTGCTTTAAGAAGATCATTTCGAATCCGTTCTTCTATGTGACGCCGTCGGTGGCGGTCGGTGACGCTGGCGGTTCGTCCTGGTCGTTTGGCGCGGAGCTTAGGGGGGGGGTTGTATGAAATGCTTTTGAGGGGTGAGTGCGTACAGTTTTTTGTTTCGAGGTCCAGGAAGACATATATTGAGGACTTAGGCTGACGGACGGTTGGTGATGGTGGCAGTGGATCGAGCCAAGGCACACGAATGGCGGCAGACGCTGACGCACCTCCTGCAGGCGGATTATCATGGAGGATCGGACGATTGGCGGGTGGCGTTCGCGGCTGGCGAGAGCTTAGAGGCGGCCTGTCGGAGCTTTGCCCTGAGCATGCTGGAGGAGTGTGAGGCGTTCCGCGTGCTTCTGCGAGACCTCGAGGATAGCGAAGGCAGCGATGAGCGGTGTTGTGATTTGGCGGAGATCTTTCGACTTGCGGCGGAGCTGTCGGTGGGGTTTGCGGCAAGTAAGGACGGGTTCGTGTTCCATCTGGATGTTGAGCGTGTTCCGCATACAGTGGCGCTGATGCGTGAGAGGGTCCTGACCAAAAGTGGGGCTTGGAGGGGAGTTGACGCCTTCGAAGGCCGGCATCCGGTTCTCGTTCGGCATCCGCTCATCGAACGTTCAGTCTTAGTTGGGGAAGCTCAGGTGAGCGACCGGGGGAGGTGTAGAGAGGAATAGCAGAAGGCGAACGAACACAGCTTTGATTCAGAGGAGGAACTCGATCGAAGACTTGATTGGCATATGCCGATGTTCGGCGTGGGTGACTCGTACCTCACCCCAGTCTATCATGGCGATTACCTTTTCGTGAAAGAATAGTGGTTGGACGAGCTTTTTATATGATTAGCCTACAGATTACATCCTGCTCAGCTAGAGCTCCGTGCAGCCTTCTTCAGCGATGTCTTCGATTACCGTCAAGTGGCTTGTGTGTATAGTAGTCTATGAAATGTAATCCATCTCGAGTCATAGTACAAACAGTGGATCTCGTGTCGTAAGACAGCTGTTCGGTTTTCTCGTCAGAGAAAAGGACTATAGGATCTAGTGCCTTCGCGAAACCCCGAAAGCCAACAGGTTCTATTAGTTGGAATGGAGCCAAGCCTGCAACTCGAGTCCCATCCACAATGTCGGAGTGGTCTCATTCAATTGCCCTATCGGATGATGGTACATGCTTTTTGAAGCATTGTCCCTATATCGATTGTGTGGCAACAGATTTCATTGTCGAAGACGAACTGTCGAAGCTGGGGTTGCGCCAGAGGCGCAGTTTGGTGTGACCTCGAGTAAAAGGAGATGTCAAGTTCTGTGACTCCTCATCACCTCATATCCATATCCTCATTCTCCTGTCCATTACCACTGCTATCCCCGCCTCGGGCACCTGCATCCTTCCCTCCCGACGTCGCCGCCCCGGGCTGTGCTTGTTGCTGCTGCTCACCGGCCGCAGCCGAAGCCAAAGGGAAACTCAAATACTTCCAATCCTCGATCTCCTCGATGATACACTTGAGCCGATCCCGGATACTCTCCACCGCATACGTCCCCAAGATCAGCCTCAAGGGCGGGTACGAGCAATGCCCGAGCTGCCAGACCAGATGCGCCGCCTTGACCGCACTCGCCGGCTGCTTGTCGCCCAGCCACATGAGCATCCTCTTGGCATGCGCCGCCGGCGAGGTGGAGACATTATACGGCTCGCTGGGCGGCTTGACCAGGAAATGCCCATACAGCGGCAGCGGGGACGCCAGATTATGCTCATTGGTACCCATCCCACCGCTGCCACCAAACAAACCCCGATGCATATGATCCGAAACCAAGTCCCCGGTGTCATCCCGGCGCATATGGCCCGGCTCGACCAGCGTGGTCTTGATATTGAAATGGTCCACCTCGTACAGCATGCTCTCCATCAGCCCCTCGACGGCGTACTTGGAGGCGCAGTAGGGCCCCAGGCCGGGGACGCCCAGCGCGCCCGAGGTCGAGCTGAAGATGAGGTAGCGGCCGGCCCGCCGCTCGCGGAAGTGCGGCAGCGAGAGCTGGATGATGTTCAGGGTGCCGGTGAAGTTGGTCTCGAACTGGTCCCGGATGTCGTACTCGTCCTGGTCCTCGCAGGCGCCGATCACCCCGTACCCGGCGCAGTTGGCGATGATGTCGATGCGGCCGAAGCGCGCGATCGTCCGCTGGATCACCTGCTTCACCGTCTCGCGGGCGCGCACGTCGCACAGCAGGCCCAGGCAGTTCTCGTGCTCGGCCTCGAGGTCGCGCATCGCCTCGGGGCTGTTCTCGAAGGTGCGGCCCACGGCGGCGACCAGATCATCGCGGCTCAGGGCCGTCTTCACGAGGGAGCGGCCCATGTGGCCCGTCGCGCCGAAGATGAGCCATACGAGCGGTCGCGGCGGGTTCTGCGGACCGGGCGGGTCGGTGGTCGAGGGGAGTTGGAGCTTCGGCTCGCGGGTTCCTGGGGTGGTGACGGCGGAGGGGGAGATGGGGTTGGTGGAGGATTTCGGAGGGGAGGCGTAGAGATCCATGGAGGATGCAACACGAGGTCGTCGCTCTCCTCGTGGAGACAAGAACAGAAGCTCCTTCCTTCTGCTGCATTTTCCCCGGACGCATTCCCCGCAGCTGGTCCGGATGGTCACGTGACAACACTCTTATCGATCACTGATAAAGAAGGTCCCTCGCGGGTCTGGTTCAGCTGACAGTAACATACTGCTTATACATTACAACATAGCAGGAGGTTTGACAAACTTTGAGGAGCATTTTCTACATCCCACTTAACTATGAAACGATGTAACAGGGTGATACGCAAGTAGGTATTATAGTATTCTATGAAAAGTGGGATGATAAATAGGACAAACAGCTGTTATATGCCATAGAAACATTAGTATCATCAGAAGCAGTTATGGAGGCCAGACTGCATTCGAGTATTTTTTGAATAAGGTCCTAATCCACTAAGGGGGAATAATGCTTCGCAGTACTCATGAGTCAAGATCGCTACGATACCTTTCTGGCACGCACTTATTCAGCCTTCTGTGGCCCTCTTTCATACATAATAATAAGCACATGTGTGGAATATAGACTCCAGTAGGTTCTACGTAGAATCTGTGACTGAGAGTCAAGTGAGACTACGTCACGGCCCGCGGCCCGCACGGCCTTTGGGCCACCACGGGCCATGGCCCTTACCCTGTGCCAGCGCATGCATGCCTAACTAGCTTGGCCGGTATCTCGTATATAAAGGAGCGCTTCTCTGTCTACTCAGGCATTTTTTTTCTAAACTGACATCAAGTTCTGGAAAGGCTGTGGTCTCTCGTTTGAGTACCGAGGTTTGTACCTGTGTATAAGGAAGTGGATACTGAGACTAGCACGACGCTACGAGGTTCGGAACGGGCATCAATACTGTACATACACCAACAGTACATCGCGCAATATGACATTAGTTTCTCGAACAACTCTGATTCCAGGGCTAAAGACAGCTAAAGGGAACAATGGTCCGCGGAAGGTGCAGAAGGCTCGCAGCAGGAAGCAATTGCGAGCCCTGGGTAAGGGAACCCGGGAGAAGCTGAACGCGAAGGTGAACGCGAAGCTGAATGCGAAGGTGAACGCGAAGCTGAACGCAAAGCTGAATGCAAAGCTGAATGCGAAGCTGAATGCGAAGCTGAATGCGAAGCTGAATGCGAAGCTGAACGCGAAGCTGAACGCGAAGCTGAACGCGAAGCTGAACGCGAAGCTGAACACGAAGGGCAAGCGAGAGGGGGAGAAAGAGGCAGAGAGAGAGGAGATGAGAGAGAAGATGACTACCGAATCAGTCAATGAGGAAGAAGACGAGGGTCGGTATAGACGGGCTGATAGTCAGGAAAGTGATGTGCACGACGAGTCTCATTGCGGTGAATGTACCAACCCCGCGAGGCCCTTCAGGTATGATACGGGAGTTGATAACTGACTGTATGAGGGTTTATTTGGGATTTGAAGGTATCGAGTCAATGGGCTTGATACTCCGTTGTCAGTGATGCTCACTTTGCACTGAGTGGTGAGCGAGGGGTTCTTTGAACGCGTTCAATTGTTGTTCGACGCGTCGGGGGAAGTGTCTGTTGATCGCGAAGCGCACTTTATCAGCTGAGGTGTCACAAATCATGGGTTCTAAATCATGGTTGCTGACCTTGTTGATGGTGGTTTGAGTTGATTTGAAATCGTGATATTTCTGTTTGACGTTTTTTTTTTTATGCTTTGACTTATCGGGATCCTTACGTGTTTTTGGTTTGCATGCTTTTGATTTGTATACAGATTGGCAATATGAATAGGACTCGCTTCGTATTTGTCCACGGGCCACATATCCCAGGCTATTACTCCGAGAGACACTTATATCATATACAATGTAGAGGACTTCAGCTCTAACGAGTGGCCTAGCGAGTACAAGCTGAAGACAGAGCGCCCAACTCTTACCGAGGACAGTACATAAGAGCATCAATCACTATCGCCGCGCTCTCGGCTAGACCCGCTCGGAGACGGCCGACGTGGGGACCACCACCGCGCGGCCGCACGAGTATATCATCATCTTATTTGGATCGGAACGCCTTCTTCTATTTATCTGTATCAGAAATCAACTCAATCCCCTCTACACCCACCTTACCCCAACCGTTTCCATCCACACCCACCCACCATGTCCAGCTCCCTCCCCCCACTCGCAACCCTGACGTCAGAGCCCCAAAACCGCCAATTCCAAGTGCTGGACACCCTCTTCGAGCCATCGCCCGAACTGCACACCCTCATGGCGCCCGTCCTCGCACACCAGACCTTCGACAGCTACGCGAGACTAATCGACGCCGTCGGCGGCCGCATGTCGGCCCTGTCCGCGGCCGACTCCTCCAAGGACCGCGAGATCCTGCACGGGATCCTGGGCTCACATCCCCGGCTGGGACAGCCCAAGGCCGGCCCGACGGAGCATCTGAGCGAGCTCAGCAGGAAGGAGCAAGCGCAGCTGAACACGGGGGCGGAGGAGCAGGCGGAGCGACTGCGGGCCTTGAATGCCGAGTACGAGAAGAAGTTTCCGGGGTTGCGGTTTGTGTACGTTTATTTTTTTGTTCTGATGGGGTTGGGTTTTCTGGGACTGAGGGGGGCTAATTGATGGCTTTAGAACATTTGTCAATGGGAGGGATAGGGGTGTGATTATGGAGGAGATGCGGAAGAGGATTGATAGAGGGGATGCCGAGGTGGAGGTTGAGGAGACTATTCAGGTATGTTGGCGGGGATAATCTTGTGGTGGAGGGATGCTAATTGCATGCTTTAGGCGATGTGTGATATTGCGAAAGATCGGGCGCGGAAGTTGGAGTAGGGTGGCTTATATTTTTGATTGTCATTGAAATGCATCAGTATCGGGCCACCGGTCATTTCTCAATTCGAGATACGCCTATTACTTTTGCACTAGGATAGTGCGACGACGTGACCAATAATGTATTGTGTCGTTCAACGACTTACAACAGCAATGGGGATGACAAGCTCTCTTTATATCTATATATACGCTGGTTCCCAGGTCCCACCAAAAATGTGGCCAATCTAGTCCGTCATTCTAGACTGCGGCATCTTATTTTCCGAACGCCTCCTTCTGCTCCGGCACCAAGGTGATCATCTCACCCTTCTCAACCGCCGACCGCAGGTTGTTCAACACCAAAAGCTCCATCTCCCGCTGCGTCTCGTACGTCATGGTACCGATGTGCGGCAGCAGCATCACCTTAGGGTTGCTGACCAAGCCCGGCTCAATCTCAGGCTCGTTCTCGTAGACATCCAGACCGGCAGACAGAACCTGTGATCATCAACATGCAATCCAACATCCTTTTCGAGGTGGTATCTTACCTTGCCGGATTCGAGCGCAGCAACCAAGGCCTTCTCGTCAATCAACGCTCCACGGGCCGTGTTCACGATCACAATCCCGTCCTTCATCTTCTGGAACTCCTTCTCCCCGATAATGTGACGGGTCGACGCATTGAGCGCCAGGTTCAGACTCAAAACATCGGAGGTGGCCAGCAACTCATCGAAGGAGACATACGTCGCGTCTCCCTCGAGCTCTGGAGACAGCCGTGACCGGTTGTGGTATTGGATCTTCATGCCAAAGGCTCTTGCACGGTGGGCCATTTCCTATCCTCCCAGGTCAGCAAACCCAACTCGTCTCGTCTTCCCGGTAATGGACAGCAACTCACGCGACCGATGCCTCCCATGCCCAGAATCCCCAGAACCTTACCCTGGGGGTCACGGCCAAGCCCCGTTTGTCCTAGGAATTTACCTACTCGAATTAATATCTGCATCAACCCTCACACCCCCCGAGTGCAGAATGACCTACCCTCGCGCAGCGAAGAAATGGGAATATAAGCCTGGCGCAGCGCGCCGATCATCAAGAAGATCCCCACATCCGCTGTGGCGTTGTTGACCGCGACGGGGGTGCTGGAGACGGCGATTCCTGAGCCCCGGTCTTTAGCAATTGATGCCTACCAGCAAGCATGGGAAAATACCTTTCTCTGTGCATCCCTTGACATCGATGTTATCGTAGCCTGCCCCGTTGTGGCAGATGTATTTGAGGGACTTGGGAAGGACGGAGAGCAGCTCTGCGTTGAAGGGGCCGGTGAACTACCCAAGCATTAAATGTTGGTATGTCTCATGGAAAGATCAGGGGGGGGGGGGCAAAGATCGTACCTTTGTGGAGGTATTCGAGCGGTAGATCGCGACCACGTCGTCGTATTGGCCCTCCTTGCAGTTGCGGATGAAGTCGTCGCGGGCGCCCTCCGGGAATTCCTAGATCGAACGCTTTAGCTCCGTTGTCGCCTCGGTGGTTGCATGCGCTCGCTTGTTCTCCTCACCTTGAGGGTAAGAATGGAGGACAAATCTTCCCATTCCTTGCGGGAATGGGTGATTGCACCGATCAACAATGCGGCGGGCATGATGTCAGAGTTGGAGGGGTGAAAGAGGGGTGTGCGCGGGGTAATTCAATCTTGGTGGGAGAAATTGCGAGATGCGATTGAGGATGAAGAGAAGAGAAGAAGGAAGGAAGGAGAGGAGGACAAATGCAAGATTAGAAAGTTAACTTAACTACTACTGAACTTAAGAGCCACATGTGATTATTCATTATCTATCTCGCAATGACCCCATCGCAGCTTTGCCTATTTCCTTCCTATTCAATCAAGTTCCAGCGACTGGCTGTTTTGATTGTGTCTTGCTCCAGCGATCGCGTGGGGGTTGTGTTGCGTATTACCTGCGGGTTACAGTACTGGGACAGAACTGTATTATACTGGGGTCAAAGGCAGTCCTTTGTCCGACAATCCGACAAGATACTTCAAATGGCTTTCCCACTTGAAGCGCTGAGTGAATATAGCTGTAGCTAGGATTTGATGTGCTTGTCTAGCTATCTTTTATCTGTTCCATCTGTTCATGCTAGACTGTCGCGTATTTTGCCAGTGTGTCAAGAAGATACTGATACTGTACTGTACTATACTATACATCCTCTATGCGCGGATAATACGTCGGCTATTGAAGTAACGGGATCAAAACCCGACGCGGAGAAAAGTCCGGGCTGACCCCACGCCGGGTACCGCTTCAGTCCCAATCCCCTCATCTCTCCACCTGAGTCAAATTAAAGCATGACTGCTCCTCCCCTCCTCCCATTCCAGTCTAGAGACACTCTCACGTTCCTCAAACAAGTCCCTGACTGAGCTCACCATGGCTACCCCTACAACCACCACAGCGCTCGTCCTCCACGGCGCCAAAGACCTTCGTCTAGTAAGTGCTACCAACTATATCCAACCCCGCATTTCCCATCAAAACAACACCCATCACCCAGTTGAACCGCAGCTGACCACCACCGCAGGAATCCCGACCCCTCTCTCCGCCCCAAGGCAACGAAGTCCAAGTCGCCGTGCGCGCCACCGGCCTCTGCGGCTCCGACCTCCACTACTACACCCACGGGCGCAATGGCGACTTCGTCGTGCGGGCGCCCATGTGCCTGGGCCACGAGTCCTCGGGCGTGGTGACGGCGATCGGGCCCGAGGTGACCAGCCACCAGGTCGGCGACCGCGTCGCGATGGAGGTCGGCCTGCCGTGCCGCCAATGCGCGCTCTGCCGCCAGGGCCGCTACAACATCTGCCTCAACATGCAGTTCCGCAGCAGCGCCAAGGTCTTCCCGCACCTGGACGGCACGCTGATGGAGCTGACCAACCACCCGGCGGACATGTGCCACAAGCTGCCGGAGAGCGTTTCCTACGCCGGGGGCGCGCTGGTCGAGCCCCTGGCCGTGTGCCTGCACGCGATCCGGCGGTCGCGGCCCCCGACGCGGGACGAGGTCGCGCTCGCGCAGTCGGTCGGCGAGAAGACCCCGGCGCTGATCTTCGGCGCGGGGGCCATCGGCCTCCTGCTGGCCGCCGCGCTGGCCGTCTCCGAGAACTTCTCCTCCATCCTGGTCGCCGATATCGATGCCTCGCGGCTGGCCATCGCCGAGTCGCTCGGCCTGGGGCTCAAGACCGCCCTGATCCCCAAGGCCGATCCCGCCAGCTCGCCGCCGCCGCCCCCCAAGGACGCGCCGCACGCCGAGCAGACGACGTATGCCCTACAGAACGCGCAGCGGGTGGCCGCGGCGCTGAAGGAGGCGGGCGGTGCGACGTCGGGATTCGCCCGCGTGTATGACTGCACGGGCGTGCCGGCCTGCGTGCAGGCCGGCATCTATGCTGCGGCTTCCGGTGCGGTGCTGGTGCAGATCGGGATGGGGAACCCCATCCAGACCCTGCCGGTGGGCGCGGCCGCCCTGCGCGAGGTCGATATCATCGGGGTCTTCCGGTATGACGGCTATGCGTACCCCGCTGCTATCGCGCTGATGGCTAGCGGGAAGTTTGACACTGTGGAGCAGCAGGTTGTGACGCACCGGGTCAAGCTTGCGGATGGGGATCGGGCCTTCTCGCTGGCGGGTAAGGGTGTCGATGAAGAGGGTAAGCCTGTCGTTAAGGTCGTTATCGAGAGCTGAGCGGGCATGTTTCTTTCCTGTTTGATTTGTTGTATGTTCTATTATGATTATACCCGGGAGATGGTGGGGCATGAAAAATTTATGATGCGGCGAGCGATTATGGTGTTACGATGCATGGTGGTGTAGATGTTTGCATGGAGATAGAGATTATCATAGCTGTCAATCAGTTTGAGCTTACCCAGGTGAAGATAGAATGAACCAGAATGATTTGATATTTTCGACCGACTCAAGATGTCGTGGATTCGTATTACTGCCCAAATGCCTAAATCGCTAAGGCTGAATACCATCAAAGCACAACGAAGTGGAGAAGAAAAGGCAAGTGACACGGTCGTGACCGTGTTGAGGCCTTGTTTATTGCCTGAGGCGGGAATGACAGGCAGCAGATCGTCAAGTCTATACGCGGCTGGGTTTCCATAAGGAGATCTGGGTTCAAATCCTGTTCCCGGCAGTCTCGCCCCCCCCCCCCCCCCCTATTCGAGGGATTTGTGTCATTGACGTGCTATGGGAAGGAGGGATGCGGAATGCGTTGGCGTGACGAATGGACTGCCTCAAATCAGAAGCCCACATAGGCTGTGCACAGTCGTGTGACGTTTCGAGGCTAGCGATCCCCATCGAGGATCTCCCCAGAACGACACGCTTCGAGTAGGTTGTCTCGTGCTCTCTTCACCACATGCCAGTGGTAACAGTGATACCCGATTTCCGTCTTCCACCATCTGATTTGCCAAGCCCTTACGTTCTACCTGTCGCAGCAATTGAGTGGTCATCTTCACGCCCTGGTCACCAGTCCGCAGCGCTGGTCACCCAAGAGCACTCGCGAAGGCCCCTGAGAATGCTCTCGCATCTAGCCCTGGGCATATGCCCTCTACTACTCTCGTACCGCCCTCGTCGATACAGCACTGCCGGAGATCTGCGTCGGCCGACCGAGAGTCCCGCTATTATTTCAACCTCAATGTAAGCCCGATCAGTGTAGCATACGCCCCGATACTCAAGGCCGTGAGGATCAGTACCGCATTCCCGCTGGTCCGAAATTTGTGCCGATTGATCCCATCCTCCCCGAGCTCCGAAAAGAACTGCTTGTTGCCCTGCTGACGGCGGTAGAGGCCGATCATGAGCACGCCGGTGCCGTAAATGGCGAACAACGCGCCCGTGCTGTAGAACTCGCTGGTGAAGATCTTTAGCACGACGAGGGCGAAGGAGAACTGCGAGAGGGCGGTGCGGACGTAGGCGCCTTCGAAGGTGCGCTGGGCGGCGCGGACTTCCACGATCTCGTCGGAGGTGAGTGCCACCGTGCGGGCACGGTGCATTCGCAGGCGGTAGCGATCTGCGGCGCGACGCTGTGAGTAGTCCTTGGAATCAGCATGCGACCAGCAACTTGTCATCGAGGACGAGGATTGAGAGGTTCGGGTTAGTTCTTTGACGCACCTCAAACATTGCGACGCGTCATACAGGTGGTGTCTGATGTGGTTCGTCGATGGAGCAGGGTGAGGCACGGATAAGAGTGAGTTGTGCCAGCAACAGCTTCCCGACGTCAGAGTCGTCTCTTGTTGTTGGCAGACCGACTTTTTCAAGGGAGTTTTGAACGCATTCTCTTTTGAACTGGAAAGAGTGTCAGCTGGTTGACCGCTGAGTTTCTTTTTCTCTTGTTGCCGCTCACGTGGACCTGCAGCAGCTGGAAGTGGCTTAGTTTGGAAGACGCGATATTGCATCAGACCATCTTTAGCAACACGCTGCGAAATTAAACAGTGTTGACAGTGTTGGAGATGTTTGGCGAGTCTCGGGATGCCACACAGTTTTTGCAGAACATAGCTCAAGCGAGTATAGAGATTTTTGACTAGTTACATCGGTAAGTAGCCCTGTTGGAGTTGTGTACTGTGTAAGTCAGAGGAAGGACTGCACTGCAGTAACAAAGTGCAGTGAACCTTGAAGGGAGCGGGAAGCGATGATATCAGCCTTTTGGCCTTTTGGGTTTCTCCACCAATGACGACTCTCCCTTCTCTAATCCTCAACGCCAGAACCCGTCGGCTATCGAGATTACCCAACTCGGTCAGAGAGCCACCGCCTCCCCCATCTTTTGAACCTTAGAACGCTTATCAGCCCGCTGCTATCGGTCTTCAATAAGCCGATCAACCGTACTTCCATCTTCCTGCTCGGCTACTAAAATGGGGGTCTGGACATTGCATTCATCCATCCATTGCTTGGCCTGCAACTGCATGTCGGTCCGACTCTCACTCCTTGGCTACGCTGCCTTTTCTCCTCACTTCTCCTCTTCTTCTGCTTCCTCCTCTCTTTCCTTCTCCGCATTCTGCTCATTTCATTGTCTCTCATTCTCAATCCGATAGCTGAGCTCTGCGATCCGTCAAGATGAGCAAGGTATTCGATGCGGCGGAAGGTATGTTGGATAGCGACTAGCAACTCACCACGATACACTCCATCGTGCTTCACATGAGCAATAGTTCAATGAAGGCTAACGTCCCTTTAGTCGCAAAACACAACACCGCAGAGAGCTGCTGGGTGATCCTCTACGGAAAGGTTTACGATGTATGAGCAGCCTCAATTGTCCTAGTCAAGGCTCATGGTAAAAAAAATTGACTTTATTTGCGAAAGGTCACCAACTTTCTATCTGATCACCCGGGCGGTGCCAAGATCATCCTCAAGCTCGCAGGCAAAGACGCCACTGAAGAATACGACCCAATCCATCCTCCAGGGCTTCTGGAGGAGAACCTCAAGCCCGAAAACTTCCTGGGGACTATCAACGCAGACACCCTACCCAAAGTACAAGCAGAGCCGGCACCAGCAGCCGCAGAGACAGAAGGGCCGCCACCAATGGAATCCCTCCTGAACATGGACGATTTCGAACAAGTCGCCACAAAAAACATCAGCAAAAAGGCCTGGGCCTATTACTATTCCGCCTCAGATGACAAAGTCACCAAACACTTTAACACAGAAGTATACCGGTCAATCCTTCTGCGCCCCCGCGTATTTGTGGACTGCACGAAGTGTGACCTGGATACGAAGCTACTGGGCCGCAACCTGGGGATGCCGATCTATGTCTCCCCCGCCGCCATGGCGCGCTTGGGCCATCCCGCTGGCGAGGCAGGTATCGCGGAAGCGTGTCGCAGCTTTGGTGCGATGCAGATCGTCTCCAACAATGCATCGATGACCCCAGAGCAGATTGTGCAAGACGCCGCCCCGGACCAGGTGTTCGGATGGCAGCTATATGTGCAGGTGGATCGCAAAAAGAGCGAGGCGATGCTGGCGCGCATCAAGAAGCTCAAGGCCTTCAAATTCATCGTTCTCACCCTGGATGCTCCGGTGCCCGGGAAGCGTGAAGACGACGAACGCGGGAATGCTGTCGGGGCGTCGGCACCGGTTGCCAGCGCCGCGATGGCCGCCGACAAGAAGTCCTCGGATGACTCGGCCCAATTAGGCGGCGTGGGCCGACAGCTCTTCGCTGGTACCGATCCTTCGTTGACGTGGAAGGAGACTCTGCCGTGGTTGGCCACGCAGACCGATTTGCCCATCATTCTCAAGGGTCTCCAGACGCACGAGGACGCGTACATTGCCTCCCTTCACACCCCACAAGTTAAGGGTATCATTCTGTCGAACCACGGCGGTCGCGCGCTGGATACCGCGCCTCCGGCGGTGCACACATTATTGGAGATCCGCAAATACTGCCCCGAAGTGTTTGATAAGCTGGAGGTCTGGGTTGACGGCGGTATCCGCCGTGGCACAGATGTTGTCAAGGCTCTCTGTCTGGGTGCAAGAGGAGTTGGAGTTGGCCGGCCGGCACTCTGGGGTCTGGGTGCCGGTGGTGTTGAGGGTGTGAAGCGTACTTTGCAAAGTAAGACTCTTCATAGATGCTTGGCTACATTGGTACTAATCATCGATTCTAGTTCTATCCGACGAGACCAAGACTTGCATGCGCTTGCTCGGTGTCGAAAGGGTCGAGGACCTGGGCCCTCAGCATGTAAGTCCTTCTGCTTTCCCTTTCGACGCATGATTCTAACTCACAATTTCAAAACAGATCAACACCCGCATTGTTGAGCAACAAATCTACGATGGTCCCTCGGGGCTCGACAGTGTACGAAATGTGTTCCGTGCCAAGTTGTAGACATATCATATAATGCAGCATGAACTTTCCACTTCGAATTTGTATAAGCAACTTCGTAATTGCTCAACATGACCCATTTGAGCCATTGATCAGTGTGCAGAGCCGTCCAGAGTCTAGAAACCAGGTAGGCTAATGATAATCGCCGATCTGTGTGCTTTTGTTCTGTCTATCCTGAAACATTTCAGTAACAAAGCATATTGTGATATTCCCTGTTATGTTGTTCCAGTTTGGCCTATGTGATCAACTGTACTAAACACTGGCATTGTTATATGCACAATGACATACACAGAGGCTTTGTCTATGCGCAAGTTTTGTGGTTGTGCTGGCTGGATTAGCAGAGCCGGCGTGACTCCGCTTCCTTTGTCCACGCGAGGGCAAAGAGACCTTCCTTCCTTTTGCACCAACCTCCGACTCCTACCCATCGGACAACAACTCTCCGTCTTCCAAGTGGGATCTCACGTTCTTGCATTGCTTTAGAGGTCAAATCATCATCAACTCGGCAATCTCTCAACCTCCCGGTTAAATGTCCCTGGAGACACCGCCTGTCTTGCTGCAGAGTCCGAGTATTGCTTCAGGATGCTGTTCCCCAACACCTCTCGACTCTGAAAGTTATATCATCGTCTAAACTCTCAGGCGACCTAGCAACAGACTACGCTCCACTCCTTTCAAAAGTCTACAGGTGCAAGAAACAATAACAATGTCTTCGAAGAGCCAACTCTGGCCAGCGTCGTTGCAGACGCTCGTTTGCCATTGTCGTACAAGTAGGCTTTGTTTTTCTTTGTTTGAACTCACAATGTGAGTCACCGTTCAGCCCAAGATTCTTTGTCTCTTTTTCTTCCGCCTTCCACAAGGCCATTATCCTGATCACCTTTTCATAGCGGGAAGTCTCAACTCATTTAAGGTGATCAGTCCCCAGATAGCAGACATATTCCTCATAATTTCTGCATTGACAGAGAAACCCCGGCAGTTACTACCGCCCTGACAAAGGCGATATCAAGCACTACTGCCAAACTCCCACAAACGACAACACCCATGTCGGAAGCGAAGAAAAGATCCTCGAGCCAAGCAGGGCTCAGCGATGAGGACTACGAGAACAGCGACTTCACTGTCCACAACGACAGCGACAGTCACTCAGACCCGGACAGCGAGGACCAAAATGATGAAGTGGAGACTCGGCTGATCACCGCCCTGCGCGTGGTCAGCGGCAACCGCCAGAAGACGGCCTCCTCGACGCCGCCGTCGGAAGTCGATGATGCAGGCATCACCGACAGACGACCGGGCCGGGAGGCGGACCGTGACTCCGCGGGTGAGGCGGATGATGAGAGAGAGTCCTCGCCATCATCACAAAATGGCGACGAGAGCGACGATGACAAGGGGAGTCGGCGCCCGGTGGAGCCGGATGACGAGTACGAGGAGCACCAAGATGGTGAAGATGAAGGCGAGCATCCCATGAACAGAAACTCAGCCTATGCGGTGGAAGGTAGCGGAAAAGACTACGTCCCAAAAAGAAAGATCAAAAGACGCAAGAAGTATGAAGCAGAGGCCGATCATTCTGAGGCGATCCGCCAGAAGTACATCGAGATGCGGAAAACCCGCACCCCGATCGCTTGTGACCGTTGCAAGGTGGGTTCACTCCGTTGGTGTTATTTCTTTCACTCCACTATAAGATAGAGTGATTAAGTAGGGTTGGCTGACCGTTTTTTTCTTTTCGTGGGAGCAGAACCTGAGGAAAGAGTGCACAATCGATGAGGAAGGCTGCATCCAATGTCAGACCATCAAGATGCCGTGTATGCACACTGACCCAATCACCTTGATAACCGAGCGACGGGGGGCATCCAAGAAAAAGGATAGAACGATCCACGACCTGAAGGCTTATATCCTGAAGCTGCAAAGACAGGTCGCGGTTCAGCTGCACCCATATGGCCCCGTAAGTGTCTTATTCCTCACTCGATCAAGGAACCAAAGTCTAACATCAACATATATCCGCCGCTAAAGCCCGTGGGTCAATATCACTTTCCACAGCATAGGCCGAACGCTTCTCCCAACCCGCGTTCTCTCAGTCCACAGGGCAATTCGGCACGATGGGGTCATGCCAGTAGCGGCAGCAGCGCAGAGAAGGGCTTGGCGTATGCCAACAGCAACGGTTTTGCTTCCTCGAACAATCACAATAACATAGCCCCGTCCAGGAAACCTGGAAAGCGAAACGGGGATCACCCCCCAGTCACCAAGCCTCGTCCACATGACAGTGGTAGCTCGGGCAGCTCTGGGGGTAAATCCGGGTACCTGGCCGAGCTGGACAAGAACATGGGTCCCGGTGGACGGGCCAAAATCAACAGCAACATGGAGAAATTTCTCGAGCGCGACCCGGAGTACCAGAAGAAGGCTTACTTCCATTCGAGCTCTCCTCGACCGCGCCAGATGTCTGGTCCCGGCTACGGTTCTCTCTACCAGGATTACCACGAGTTCACCAACAACGCACACTATCCTCCGCCACCCCCCCGGCCGATGAGCACCAGTGCACACCGCATGTATGACCCTCCCTATATGGGTGACCCACGATATGGCCACCCTCAGCCGGGCTATGTCGATCATGCCCCCCGATATCCTACGCCGCCGCCGCCGCCGCACTTCCGCCCGTACCCTGAACGCGCCAACCCAGAGTATGAGCACATGGACCCTTGTCATCACTACGATGGTGGCCTGCGTTCGACTCCGGAGGCGGACAAGGATCCCTATTACGGCTTACCCGACGCCGGGCCGAGCGATTTCGGTGACGATGAATTGATACAGGCCTATAGGACTTTCTATCCGGAGGGTGAGTCGACTTCCGCGGGAGCGGCCGAGCAAGCCCGGGCAAGCCGAACTCGGCCCAAGTTCATACCTCGGGGGATGCCGCCGGGGAATCCGCCTCCCAGGCCAAGAAAGAAGTAAACAGAAGTTGATTAAGGCTTATGATGTTATCTAGATGTTTAGCTCTCGGATCTGGTACGCTGCGCTAGGGTTTCATCGTGTTTTTGGATTTATATACACTGAGCAGATACAATATCTTATTGATGCGTTAATGATTACTGCGTTTAATGTACCTGTACTTTTCCACCTCAAAGCTGCTAGACTACAATTGCATCGGGGACGAATCCCAGGCACCAGAAACTGCTGTAAAGTCGGGAAGATATGGTGTTGTATATTTAACATACGAAGGTATATGCAATCCAGCGAATTCACCCATCAGTGGCCACGCAATCACCAGAATCACGCCGAGCCAAAGACAGACTTGCTCAGCTCATCCATGACCTTCAACCATGTGTTCACCCAAGTGGTAAACTTGTCCCCCTTCTCCTCACCCGTCGTTCCCTGCTGCCAAGGCAACTTGACCAGCTCCAAAGCCGCGACAGCCCTGTCCTTAGTCTGCCCCAGAAACCGGCCTGACTTGTCCGGGTTCGCCTCGTACAACGCCCCCGCAACCTCATCCACGAGCTCCGGAATCAACCGAAGATTCTCCGTCAACGCCTCTAACTTGCCCACCTCCGCCACCGCATCCGCCGTCTTCTTGAGCCGGTGCGTCACGATCGCCGGATACACCTGCGCGATGGGTTTCAACACGCGCAGCGTCGACTTTTTCTGCGCATGCAACGCCTTCGACTCTTCCTCATCCTCATCCTCCCCCTTTTGATCTTCGGCATCATCAGCATCATCATCACCGTCATCATCACTCAACAACTCGTCGAAAAACTCATCCCCCTCCTCGTCGGGATCCCACTCCTCGATCTCCCCCACAGCATCCCGCACCAGATCCCGCCACTGCTCCACCCGCCGCACCACGAACCCCACCACCCCCTTGGCCGCCAGATCCACCAGCGCGTCGCACGACTCCCACGCCCGCGCCGCCGCCAGCGTCACGGCGTCTTTGGCGGGTTGCGCCAGCTCCTCCCCCTTCTTTTTTGAGGTATCACTCCTGCTCGCGATCCTCTGCACCTCCTTGAGTAACACGGATAGCTCCGTCAGCGCGAGTCGGGTGAGCGCGTGCGCCTCGGTCTGGAAGGCTTGCGTGTGGTCCGTGGCGGTGATGAGGAGGGCGGCGGTCACGAGCGAGGGGAGGACGGATTCGTTGAGCGCGGTTAGGATTGGGATGGCGGCCGTCGGGGTGAATGGGGCCGTGATGGAGACGAGCGAGAGTTTGGTGATTTGGGATTTTAGGGTCAGGGAGGAGGCGGAGAGGAGGGGGAGGGCGTCTTTGGTGGTGATTGTTTCGGTGGTTGAGGTGGTTGGGGAGGTGGAGGATGCGTTGGAGGTCGTGAGGGCGGTTTGGAATTGGTCGAGGAGGGTTAGGGTGGTTGTTAGGGTGAGGTGGAGTTTTTGCGCCATTGTTGTGGGTGTTGTTGGTGTTGTGCTGTTGCGGAGCTTGCTACTGTGGGTTTTGGGCGGTTGGTTGGAGGGTAGGGAGGGCGGTGGATGGGGGGTTTTAGTAGGAGATGGATTTGGTGTAGGATTCTCCGCGTCCTCGGCTCGGTGAGATATTGTAGAGAGTGGGAGGGAAACACGAGGAATTTGTAGCGATGGTTCAGGTTCCAAAGCTGTCTGGGCTAATCGTATATGAGGCTGAAGGCGTGGAGGGGAAAGTTTTGCGGTGGTGGGGTGAAAGTCCGCGGAGGGATCACGTGAGAATATTTCCCGCCCATTGACACCTGAGGCAGGATCTTTGGAAGTATTGTCGCCTGGAAGCGAGCGAGCGGCCCCGGTGGTTGTTACGACTACAGGTACATTATGTATAACTTTGCCTTTTCTACTGGACCTGTGTGTCTCCTGGCAATGGAATTTGACTGCATGGAACGTGTAGCACAACCTAGCAGTAGCAATTATTCAAATCTTTCGTTGTTTGCTGCATCGAATCAATTGAGCCAATTCTCAACTTCTACTACGGAGACATCCACACCCTGTGGCAGCGCATGTACTAAGCTCAGCCTGCCTGAAAAGCAAGATATCACCTCCGCACCAGCATGCCAATCTCTTACTGAAATCTTGGCAATTCATACAGCCGACCGAATAACCAATCATGTCTAGTCGTCAATACTTCCATCTAGTCTCTCGATCTTTCCATTCTGCAACACACAGCCCACGTCCCGAATGAGATAGGATCTCTGATACCCGTCCTTTTTCTCCTGGGCAACTCGCGCCCTGTGGTGCTCCCCCAAGTAGTAGCACCAGTTGTTCCCCGTATGATTCGACTGCGCCTCGAGGGCCTTTTCCACCTGAGAGGTCAGCCCCCCATACTGCAGGTATTCCCCACCGTGCTGCTGGTAGGCATATTTCTACGACGATTTCACAAATCTGATCAGTTTTGGGATGGACTCGCGGCCGTTGCCGGTCACCCGATAGGTATGGCCTCCTTTGACCTCCGCCCCAAGCGTCTCGGCGGCGTGTTGCTGGTCGTAATTCCATGCCTGGTCCCAGGTCTTTTTCACGTCGGCGTCGTAGTAGCACCCTTGCTCAAGGCAGACACTGTCAAGTATCCGAGGCGGTGCCTACAGCCCCATGTACCGGTAGGCAGCAGCACGAGAGGAGGAGTCCTTATATATCTTGAAGTGTTGACCATGAGCCTTTATCACATAGTAAGTGTTCGACAATTTATGAGTTGAGAGAGTGCGTGTTTCCATATTTGTGGATGAATAGGTGAATCTAATTAATCTCTCAAGAGGTTCGACAAGCAACGATGACAAGTCTCAGTCTTTCGGGAGAACAAGCCCAGCGTCGCAGTCAATATTATGCGATTTATCTAGCATATTTGCGAGATATGGCTGGTGGCGATCGCTAGGCTGTTGAGCATGATAGGATCACCGCCTCTTAGGGCCGAGGGGACAGAACCAAGGAACAAAAATAATGTGTTATTGAGCTTTCGGTTGGAGCATGATTTACTACTATATGGAATAACTTCAATATTCACTCGATGGGTACACTCATAGACTGATCGAGCTTGGAGCGCTTGACTAGACTGAAATCTCGGCAACCCGTTTTCGGTCTGACGAAGAGATGTTGATAAGAAAAAGGTTAACGCTGCGACAAGGAGCCAATTAGTGTGAATGAGCTTCAGTTTAGGAATGGTCAATGTGAGGGTGGATAAGTACGTATGTCATCATGGTCAGCATGCAAATATGGCATGGTTAAGTCAAGCAATGGCTAAGTTATAATAAGGAGGGGTTATGCCAATTACCGGCTTGGCCCGACTTAGCGTGAGATAAGGGCATTAGTAGAGAGTGTTTCTCCCCCCACTCCAACCTGTCAACCACCAACCTTTTCGCCCACTTTGAACATTTCATGCTACTCGAACGCAAGAAACCCTGAGAGCTAGAATGTCCCCTCCAGAGGCAAACGAGCCAGTAATACCCCATCAGTCTCCAGAAACCGAGGTAGGGGTCACAACCGAGCTGGTCAAGCTCCCCAAACTGCTCCTGGTCGCGATCGTCCTGTGCTTGGCCACTGTGTGCGTCGCAGTAGACAACACCGTACTATCCACTGCGGTGCCTCAAATCACCGACGCTTTCGACAGTATTGACGATGTGGGCTGGTATGCAGCGTACGTTCTGCCAACTCTTGCATCGCTAACCCAGCGGGGATCGACTCGAATAACGAGGAAGATTGTAATAGAATATACCCCTTAACCTCGTGTGCATTCCAGCCGTTCTTCGGCAAGGTCTATTCGCTTTTTTCCAACAAAGTGGTCTTTCTGGCCGCACTACTGGTCTTCGAGGTCGGGAGTGCTATTTGTGCTACAGCACCGAGCTCCAATATCTTTATCCTTGGACGAGCCCTGGCAGGGCTGGGGTCCGCTGGGATCTCCGCCGGCACCACCCTGATTCTGGCCGAGTGCGTCCCGCTGCCGCGGCGACCAACATGGAATAGCATCATCGGCAGTACCTTTGCCCTCGGGAGTGTCGCTGGACCTCTGCTGGTATTGCCCATGTGCTATCAGACATTGATAACTGTTACAGCACACTGACACCGCAAGCAGGGCGGAGCCTTCACCGAGAAAACAACCTGGCGTTGGTGTTTCTACATCAATCTGCCTATCGGGGGTGTAGTCATGCTCTTTGTGACCTTCTTCTACCGGAGCAATCCCAGTGTCACACGAGCCTCGACTGGATTATACAGTCAGATTGCCCGATTCGACGTCGGCGGCACCATCACTTTAATTCTGGCCACAATTTGCCTTCTCCTCGCACTCTCCTGGGGCGGAACGAAGTATGCCTGGGACGACACCTATATCATTGTTCTGCTAACAGTCTCCGGGATCCTCTTCTGCGTGTTCGCCGGCATCGAGCGATGGATGCAAGATAGCGCTGTTATCCCTTTACGATTGCTACACAGGCGAAGCATGGGTGCTGCGATCCTGTTTAGTCTCTGTCTTGGTGGCGTGTTCTTTGTAGGTGCTCGATACGCAACCCTAAGATCCTCCTGGCTGACTAAGATCTCACTACCGTTCCAGGTCAACGTTTATTACATACGTGAGTCACAAAACTCGCTCAAGTGCTTCACTACTATCACTAATCCAAGCTTCCAGCACTCTGGTTCCAACTGGTTGACGGAATCTCAGTCGTCGAGTCGGCCATCATGTTCATCCCGTTCATGTGCAGTGTCGTCGGCGGGTTTGTATGTGCCGGCTTCGGGACCGCCGCCACAGGATACTACACGCCGTTCGTCTACGGGGGCTCGATCCTCATGTCGGTTGGGACGGGTCTGATCGCGACGGTGCGGCCGCACCAGACCCCGCGCGCCCGCTGGATCGGGTATCAGATCCTGTGCGGCGCCGGCATCGGCCTGGGCGAAGAGCAAGGCCTCTACATGGTGCAGACCACTCTTCCCGAGGCGGATGTTGCCACGGGTCTCGGGATCGTCCTCTTTGCGCAGACGTTCGGGGGTGCCGTCTTCGTGTCCGTGGCGCAGGCGGTGTTCCTGGAACATATAACCGCAGCCCTGCGGACGCTGGCGCCCGATGTGGACCCTTACTCGGTGCTGGGGGGCGCGTCGACGGCTACGTCTCCCGCGCTGCAGAGTGTGTATGCCGTGGCGATCAAAGATGCGCTGCGTGTGGGGCTGGTTTTAGCCACCGTATCGAGTCTGGGGGCTCTGCTGTATGACTGGCACAGTCTGAAGGGGAAAGGTGAGAATGGGAGTAGCGGTGGTCATGAGATGGTGCTTGTAGCGCAAGGGTCGGATGGAGGACAGGGGAAATAAGGACCGACAATGCGACATTGTTGGATAGGAAGCTTGTCTATGGCTGGCTCGGGGGAGGGACTATATTCGCACATAGAGACAAAAGCTGAGCAGCTGGGTAGTAGTCAGTACTTATAATATGCTTACCAAGATGAGAAGCTAAGATCTAACCTTGAAATGCTGCTGTTCGCTACTTGTGGTGCTCTGCAGAGATCTGTAGACTATGGATTATTGCACCACTGCTTATCCTGAATGCCCTTCAGCTACTGGGAAGTCGGTCCGGAAAGCCCGTACGTAGTAATAATCTCTACATGAGCGAAGCTGTAGGGGCTACGAGTGGATATTGCAGATCAATGAAGCGACTGAGGCTAAGCTCAATAGGGTGCCCGATGTCTGTACCGACTCACTGTAATGATGCCCTAAAGCATCTAGGAAATTTCAACTTTACCAACCACATCTAACGTGAACAAAACCCCTCTTGCATTCAACTCACTGTTGACGCCTCTATCTCATCAGATTCTTGTTGCTTCAACCGCCTGAATACTCACAATGCCCCTCTCGACTGCCAACTTCACCACCACCGCAACCCATGTCATCCAAAGTGACCACCCGATCTCCCTCCCCGATCCGTATATGCTAGGACCCTTCGACCACCTCTACCACTTCGCAACCCCCGTCAACGCCGTGTGAATCTACCAGTCCTCGCCCTCCGTCAACTTGATCCCGGTCGAGCGACTACGCAAAGCCATCAGCCGTCTCCTAGACTACTACCTCCACCTAACTGGCCGACTGCGCATCGATCCCGCGACCGGCGTCCGGTCCATGACCCGACTCGGCACCGGGATCCATCTCTCCGAAGCCCACTGCGACGCACCTCTTCGCTCTTTCGCCCGCAGCCCCTCGGCACCAGACACAGAACTCAGCGTATTCGACTTTCCCAACGCAGGAAACCCGCTGCTCGCGCCATGGGACCTGACCCTCGAAGGCGCGCAGCGCGATCCCGTCCTCACCATCCAACCTTGGGATCCTCCGTCTCCGGCACCAGCGTGAACTTCCTCCCGCATCTCAGCCTGCCCGAACGAACCTTCGGAAACACGGTCGTAACCCCCGTGATAGAGCTGGATTCAACCGCGTTGACGCAGGCACCCCTCTGGCAGATCGCGGGGCTCATCAACGACCGCATCCGACACGTCTCCCCGGCGGAGGTGCGTCAACTGGGGAGGTGGATCGCCGCGCAGCCCGACACGTCCCGGATCCAGCTGAACTTTCCAGTGGTGGCGGCGGCCCCGTTCATCGCGACGGGGTGGCATCGGTTTCCGCTGTACGCGGGCGCGGAGATGGATGGCGTGGCGCCTTCGCTGGCTAGTCCGGTGTTCATGGACGCGTTGTTTGATGGGATGGTGTTTTTTGTGGAACCGAAGGTCAGGGATGGTGGGGTGGAGGCGGTGGCTTCGCTGCGGAGGTCGATCTAAGCGTGTTTGGAGCAGGATGAGGGGTTGGGTGGTGCGTGGGATGGGGTCAAGTTGCTGTGTTGAGGTGGAAGGGTTGGAACGAGCCGTTATCTGACTCTTGCTAAACGTCTGCTTCCATCAGGTGCAGTTAGTTTCTTTGGTTTTAATTTGAGCGGTGCGGTACGGAACGTGCCAGGCCTCGCATTGGACATATACCTTAACGGTGTTATTGAGGTACGTGTTGACTAATTGAGATGTTACTAGCCATGGAAGAGAACTAGTGGTAGTAGTCGTTCTATAAGGTATAGTATGTAACTGGCAGCCTTTCACCAATCGACAAAGCTAATCTTTTGGTATCCAGGTATATCCCTGGATCTATACCCTGTATCTTGTATTATCTTTTATATTTATACCCAGAGGCAAAAACGTGTCTATTTACATGAATATACTTATACTCTAACCCTAGAAACCATGTTACTGAAACAGAAGTAAGTACCCTAGGTAGCCACATAAGTAAAACCTTCAAAATCTGTACAAGCTTCTGATGTAGCTAGCAAGCTCCGAGGGAGTATCTCGATCAAACACCATATTCAAGTATATCCCTTTCTTGTGCGCCCCCCACCCCCCAGCCCGCCTCGGGTCAAAATCTCCCTAGCAATCACCAGACGGTCACACTAGACACACCCCACCCCTCCACAAAAGAGAAACCCAGCGTCCCTCACACAGAATCGTCAATTGCAAAGCATCCTCCACGCATGATTGTCTCGGGATCGATCTACCGTCTCCCCCACCGAGCATCCCTCACCCCCCATCCTATATCCACCGCGACCGCCGTGGTCGTCAGCCCCGCCTCCGCCTCCCCGGCCATCCCCGGCCATCCCCCCACCTCCAGCGTCCGGCCCACCAGGTTCACGGAGGAAGTCGGCGTGCCGTGTCGATCGTGTCCCGTAGCCCGTCGCCACCGTGGCAGTCGGGAGACCTGGACATACCCGGCGGGGTCGCGTTCGGCAACGAGGATCGCGTCGTGCTGGCTGCTGTGGTAGGGCGGGTGGTCGAGGCTATTCCAGTCCCCGTGCAGGATGTGGCAGGAGCGCAGGTGTGGGCCATCCGGGATATCGAGACGGTGGAAAAGGTTGGATATATTGCTCGAATCGATGTTGAGGGAGTCGTTATTGGCAGGCCCTTGGTCGGGGCGCGGGACAGACTGTCGAGTAGGGAAATTCAGCTCCAGATGGTGGAGGTGCGGGAGACGGCGGAGCGGGATGAGGAGGCTATCAATGTCACTGTCACACTGCGAAGAGGGGAGAAACAAGCCCAGAGACCGGAGGTTGGGAAAGTCCTCGGGGAGTTGATGCAGCTGGGCCGGCGCGAGAGTCGCTGGATCGCGGGATGATGATGATGTCCTCAGGCGCAGATGCTGCAGGCCCGCCCCGTGCGCCTCGGCCACCACCGCAACCACGTCCGCAGGCAGGTCCACTCCGATAAAGGTGCGCAGCGAGCGGGGCAGTGTCCGGAGGAAGGCCTCCAGCAGCCCGGCGCGTTGTCGCGCCGCCTCCGGATTGATTCTTCTTCCCCTATTCGTGAACCGCGGCATGCCCAGCTCGAGCCAGACCAGCTCGCGCAGCTGAGCTCCCCCTCTGAGAGCAGGCAAGAGGTGAATCCAGTCCACTGCAACAAGCGAGAGGGACCGCACGCCCTCCCAGCGCAACTGCGTCGCCCAGAGACGACTCTGCGCAGCGCCGAACCGCATCCCCCGGAACGCGAGATGCGCCAGCGTCTCCGGCAGCCGATCCCCGTCCTCCAGCGTGATCAGCCCTCGTTCCTCGATCTCGGCCGCTGTTTCTTCCTCCTCCTTCCCCGGCGCCTCGTTTGCCCAGCGCTGCCCCCGTCGCCACGTCGACCGTCCCGTCAGCGACAGATGCGTCAGCCGCGGACCCCGAACAATCAGTTCCTTCAACGACGCCGGCCGGTGCACACTCCCCCTCCCCCTCCCCCGGCCCCGATCTGGGACCGGATCATACTCGCCGCGGAACCACTCTGCCGCGACAGACCGGAGACACGCGAGCTGCGGAGGCCCCCGGCTCGGCTGATGCAGGTGTATCCTCTGGGTCAGCGCGACCTGGGAACTGAGGATGTGCACCTCCGTCGCCGGGGAGACCTCGTAGAGGCGCCGGAGAATCACCCCGGGCATGTACGTCTCGTACCACCAACTACAATCCCCCCAAAAAAACGTAGTCAGAGAGCAGGCCCACCTGAACAAGACGGAAGAGACTCAACTAAAACCGCCGAAGCTCCCTCGCCGCCCCAAACAGATAATACAGCATCGCTTCCTGGGCATCCGACATGACGTCGACGCCATCACCAAGCCCCGCATCCCACGGCTGGTGGCCTGTCACGACGATCGCCCGCACAAACGCGCAGCACCGCACGGGCGGATCGGGCGCGGACCACGGGCGTTTCGCCTCCTCTCGCGCCCAGAGATCCATCCCGCCGTTGAACTCGAAATGCAGGGTCCGGAATAGGGCTGATGCGGCGACGGGGTACAGCGCTTGGTTGGTCTGCGCGAGGGCTTTCAGGGCGGTGCGGTCGGTCCAGAAGAGCTTGCGGTTTGGAGGTTAGTTTGGCGAGGGCGAGTCGGGGAGAGGGGGAGAGAGGGGGTTGCCTACGAGGTTTACGATGTGATGCCAGATTTCGGGGGGAAATTTCCCTGGTAGGAATGAGGATGCTGGTTCAGCGTCCATGGTGTTTGTGTTGGTGTTGGGTGGGTGTGGGTTGGATGGGGCGCGGGTCGGAGAGAAAGGGGAACGGGGAACGGGGAACGGGGAACGGGGAACGGGGGAGCAGAGGTGATCTTATAGCGGGAAGACAGGGCGGGTCGAGCCCTAAATGGTGTTTCTGGCGGGGAGGCATTCACCTGAGGATAATGGGGACGGACCACGAGTGATGTCATGAATCCTGATTCAAAGTAAGTCGGATGTGTAGATTTATGGAGTCAAGATTCTACGATCGCGAATCTCATGTTCATGAGTCACAGCACCCCTAGGCCACACGAGCCAGTCATCGTGTCTAGGAACAGAACAACGGCCATGTCGCTACGCTGGCATATGAGATATACTGAAATAGTCGGGTGTCGGCCGTTCCGTATGGAATAAAGGTTCTTATTTTCTCACTAATACAAGAGATCTATACAGAGAGAGAGGGAGGCCAGCCACAAGTCCATACCTCTACGGCGCCGCCGCCGTCGTCACCGTCATGGTGGTCGTCCCCGTGGTCATGACACACAGCTTCTCACACTCGATCTGCACATCCGAAGAAGCGTCCTCCATACACTCGGCGCGGGCCTTGGGGGTGCCGGGACACGAGGCGATGCGGAAGTTGAACAGGAAGGTGACGCACGAGTAGTAATTGCCGGTGACGCACAGATCGCTGAGGGCGGTGGTGGTGATGACCTCGGTTTCAGTGGTGGTGGCGGTGACCAGCGTCGTGCTGGAGCCCGCGCACTCGGTCAGCTCGTAGCCCGCGACGTCGTAGATGGTGGTGGACTCGCAGGCGATCACGTCGCTGAAGAAGTCGGTGAAGGTGTAAGGGTACGGGTTGTTGGCGTAGTCGATGGAGACGGTGGTCGAGGCGCCCGCGCAGCTGGTGACGGTCGTGCCGTCGCTGACCTTCTTGGTCGTCGAGGCGCACGCGATCTGGTCGCCCAGCGAGTCCGTGAACGTGTACGGGTACTTGTTGGTCGAGGTCGAGGTCGGCAGCACCGTGTAGCCGCACGGGTTGCTGCCCGTCATCGTCGGGATGTTGCTGGCCGCCCCCGTGCAGACGCAGAACGCCCCGCTAATCCCCGCGTCCGGGTCCTCGCCAATCACGCACAGCGGGTCGCTGGAGGCTGAGGCGCTGGCTGTGGTGGTGGGAGACGAGCTGATGGTACACGCCGCCGCCGTGGTCTCGGTGTCATCGTCGTCGTCGCGCCGCTTCAGCGCCGGGTTGGCGTCGGCGGTGAAGTCCCAGGTGATACTGGTGGAGCACACGCTCGAGTACTTGCTTTTCAGGGCCGCGTAGCCCGTGAGCATATCGTTGGCTTCGTCCAGCGCGTTGGTCAGGCCGGAGTTGCCGGCGATGGTCGTCAGCAGCGCCGACTCCGCGTCCATCACCGTGATCAGCGTGTCGATATACCCTTGCACCGTCGTCGTGACCGTCGAGTAGGTGTTCATGAAGTTGGTGAACTGCACTGCAAACTTCTTGGTGTCGGTGTCGGAGTACGTGCTATCGAGGTTGGCGCTGATCCAGTTGTCCAACGCAAGCCTGGCAAGGGAGAGTGATTCCCCGTTAGTATGACTACAAAACACACACCCGCATAGCGAAGACTCACATCTTGTTGTAGATCCGTGCGTTGGTCGATTGCATGTAGTCATTGACGTTAGTATCGGTGATGACCACACACGAAGCCGCCATCTGCCAGAGCAGCTCCATCTTGGAGCGGAACTTGGTGCGCGCTCCCATCGACTGCAGGGCATTCGTCTCGGCGGTTCCCACCCAAGGCGTGGTTGCCTTGATGGCTCCAACTCCCTTCGTGTTGGTCCAATTCTTGAAGGTCTTGCCTCCGTAGTCCTTTTTGGCAATCGCCGCCTTGAGGCGATTGAGTACCTTGCTGATTCCAATGAACTCAAAGTAGTCATCCGATGCAATGGCCGAGTAGATCTACCAGGGAGAAAAGGTCATGAGAGTCAGCGGGAGAATGTACTTGGGCCTCGACGGATACTCACGCTCTGCAAGCGATTGCCGCAGCCGAAGAAGATGACTTCGGCGTCGGCGCACGAGAAGGTGCTCGTGGTGGCACCGGTAAACATCTGGCTGAAGAAGTCCTTCAGCCATCCCATTTCCCCTGTAACACGTAGTCAGCTTCATGTCGATTGTTCCAAGGTAAGCTGAGGCGAGGAGATACTCACAGGCATGGTCCATCGTGGCCACATCGCCAAAATCCGTCGGCAGGTCAGCGACAGCCACCTGGGTCACTTCCACCGCACAACCAGCGGCCGTGGTGGTATGATACCACCGCGGCATGTCCGTCTGCGAGCCCACAATCAGACCATCCGTCTCACTGTTGTACCAGTCGTATCCGTTGGTGTAGGGGGGCACGGTGACGGTGGTATCCGCGCCCAAAGCGCATTTGCCCACCGATTTGATCGTCTCACGCTTGGCTCCGTCGCGTTTCTCAATGAATTTGCCATGTGCACCTGGCGCCCTGGCCGGCGCGGTGGTCATCCTTGCGCTCGCGGGCTCAGTCCTTCGGAGTCCGGTCACAGTCGCAGTTGCTCTTGCTGTTGACGTCGGCATCATCACGGTGCCGGTGCCGGTGCCGGTCATCCGGGGAAGATCCGCGGCCACTCCACGACGTCTCAGGTCGATGGACGGCCACGCGTACTCGGATTCCGCCAGCATCGGCCAATCGTCCTCGTACGAGGCGTCATCGTCGCCGTAGAACGGGATAAAGTGCCACGCACATGCCTGGCAGCCCGAAAAGCTATCATAGTTGAGCGCCAGATCCGCCCCCGTCGCCACGGCGGGACAGGCGGCCGTGGTCTCCGAAGTGAAGGTCTTCGTTGTGGCGGTCATATCGCATCCGGTCACCGAGTAGCAGGTGGTCGAGGTGCAATCCGTGGTCGCAATGGCGGATTCGGTTGCAATGGTGCAGTACACGTCGCAGTTCGAGGTCGTGGTCGTGCTGGAACATGTCGTCGTGGTCGAGGAGTCGTCGTCGTCGTCGCCATCGCCACTGCCTCCACCAGTGATGTCTACCCCGATAGGGCAGATAGGGCAGTCAGAATCACAGAACAGTACACCTACCACGCAGGTTTCAGAAGTTAGCTTCTCTGTGACATGAGGAGGAAGGGAGAATAATCACTGACAGCCAGTGCCACATCCCGCACAGCCCGCTGTTGCCGTCGGACTTGGAGGCTTGCCACTCGTCCATTTGGTGGTCTTGCTGTTGAGCTTGGTATCGTGAGTGGTGTCCGTGGTGCTGGGATAGACGACCGGTGTCACCGTCGTAGTCACGGGAGGCAGAATGGTTCCTGAGATCACCGTAGTTGAGCCACCCAGAGTCTCGGTGACAGCCGGCTCCACGTAGGTGTAGTCGCCCCAGACGACAACGTTGGAGGTCTCGGTGGCGGTGGTCGTGGCAGCCGACACCACGGTGGTGCCTCCGATGGTACTAGAATCATGGTCAGTCACATCCAACAGCCGGGGTTGAACGGGGGTTGCGAGCACTTACGGAGTCCAAGTAATAGCAAACGGTGATGGCTCAACCGAGGAAGTCAGCCAGATTGTTCCAGTGGTGCTGCCATTGGGGAGATTGACGCCCCAGACAGGAATTGCGGTCGTCTGCACCGGAGGAATGCTGATGATGGTTGGGAACCAGTAGCTAACGTGAGAGGTGACTGCCGTCACATCCCCGCCACTGGAGGCGGACGTTGTCTCAGTCACCACAGTAGTGTAGGTCAGGGTGGTAGTCCAGGGGGGCAGGGTGATGGTTGTCGTGCTGCTGAGGGGCTGAGGGGGCCAAATCAACGAACATCCGGGAACGGCCGTCACAGATGGACTGTCTTCGTCCCAGATCGATGGATCAATGTACACTTCGCAGCTCGATCCCTCCGACGTCGAAGTCGACCCGTTGGAGGTCAGCAGGTCGATCGCCCAGTCAGCAATTCCCAAGAAGTTGTAGCCCTCGTAGAGCTCGGCGCGGCTGGCTTTGATATCATCGTCCATATAGCCCGCCCACTGGGTGTCGTTCCAAACCATGATGTTGGAGTTCGAATCTTCGTCAATGTACGTATAAACCTCCTCTTCTTCCGCAATCCCTGCGAGCTCGGCGTTGGAGATATACCCAGCAGTGTCCGTGCAAGCGCCTGGAACCGCTCCCGAATCCGGGCCGGTGAAGGTGCATTCGGGGCCGTAGCAATCGGCCTCAGTCATTTGGAAGGATCGGGCGTAGCTCGCTACTCCCACAGCCACCATGTTCGAGGGCACGCCTGCCTTGGTGATCATCGATAAGGCACTGACAGTCTCCGTCAAGTTCACATGGGACCGCAAGCAACCGCCTTGGGGACAGCCCGGATCAGCATACGTATTGTTCCAGTCCCACTGCCCGTGCAGATCGTAGGCCATCAGGACAATATAATCCACCACCTCACT